CAGCGAGCACTGACCCACAGCCATGATTTAAAATCCAACAGCTTTGCTCGCTTTCTTACCTGTCTGCAACACTTCTCCCCAGACGATCACGTATCAAGCTGTTCTGACCACTGATGGCTTCAGGTCCTACGTTCTGATGCTGTACCAAGACGGAGGCATGCAATGGGATTACACCAGGCTTGCTGCCACCAATGTGCTCATCGGTTACACCAGGTACAGCAGGATCAGCACCCTACCCCTGCCTCCTCTGAGCACCAGGCTGTGTCCCACCACTGGCTCTGTATGGTTTGATCCTTTTCCCTGCATCCCATGAAGGATGAGGGACAGCTCAGGTGGGGTCTCTATGCCCATATAGCCTAACATACAGGGGTCTCACAATCAAATTTGCCCCACTAGTGGCTGTATTGTGCTGCAGCACACTGACTTTCTGGGCTGCGCTTGTGATAAAAGCCAGACATCCCCCTGGGGGCCCAGGCCCACAGCATCCTGGTGGTTTGGGTAGAAGGAGTGGGGAGCAGGGGATGTTTGCTGAACTTTGCACCAGTCGAGGGAAGGGATTTCCACTGCTTGGCTAGAGCAGTCACTTCCTGCCTCCTCGCATTACATCTCACCCCATGCACGCTGTCTCCAGGGTTTCCTCATTGCTGCAGCTGGGTAAGGAAAAGGTGGCTGGGACAGGAAGCGTGGGCAGCACAGGCATGTCTGCGTGCACGTTTGCCTGTGCGTGACCACTGGTGGTTTCTGCTCCATATCACCCTGCAAGATGCTGGAAACCACGGCAGCTGCTCACAGGGGTCTTGAGGTATCTGCAGGTTCAGCCATGATGCAGTAGGTGCATTTGCAGCACCCAAAATTAACTGCATCCCGTAGAGAGGAGGCAGCGGGTTGGGGTAGCTAGTACCTTTGCCCTTGTGTCCTCAGAGCTGTGATTTGGGTGCTGCGGGTCCCACTGGCTCAGGATCAGAGCAGCTGAAGGGCAGGCTGGGGCTGTGATAACCTCGCACAGGAAGAGCAACCCCTGATTCTTCCTCTTTCCTCTGCATGCAGCGGGGATGGTTTTTACCACAACGATGACCTGGCTCAGAGACCTCCAGCCGCTAAATATCGCCCTGACCAGTTCAGGGGCTACAACACAGGTAGTGCTGCACAGCCGGGGGGGTCACGCAGCCCCTCAGGGAGCTGGGAAAGAGCTATGTGGGGAGGGAGGTGTCCCCAGGGGATGAAATCCAACCTAACACTGTGGCAAGGCTCCCACTGAGTTCACCGAGACTAGGCCTTCCCCCCAAGCACATAGAACCATAGAAGTGACCAGGCTGGAAAAGTCCTTTAAGATGACCAAGTCCAATCGTTATCCTGGGACTGCCAAGACCACCACTAAACCATATCACTGACAACCTCATCTACAGGGCTTCTGAACGCTTCCAGGGACAATGATTCCACCGCTGTTCCAATACCTGACTGCCCTCTCTGTGAAGAAATGTTTCCTAATATCCAATCTAAACCTTCCCTGGCACAGCTTGAGGAGGAAACTCTTGTCCTACTGCTTGTTACGTGGGAGAAGAGACTGACCCCCACCTCACTACAACTTCCTGTCAGGTTGCTGTGGAGACTGATAAGGTCTCCCCTGAGCTTTCTTCTCTCCAGGCTACACCCCCAGGTCCCTCATCCGTTCCTCATCACACTTGTGCTCCAGACCCTTCACCAGCTTCCCTGCCCTTCTCTGGGTGTGCTCCAGCTCCTCAGTATCTCTCTTGTAGTGAGGGGCCCAGAACTGAACACAGGATTTGAGGTGCAGCCTCACCAGTGCCAAGTACAGGGGATGATCACTGTCCTGGCCCTGCTGGCCACACTGTTTCTGATACAGGCCAGGATGCCATTGGACTTCTCGGCTGCCTGGGCACAAACTGGCTCATGTTCAACTCCATCAATCAGCCAGGCCCATTTCCACTGAGCACCTTTCCAGCCACTCTTCCCCAAGCCTGTAGCATTGCCTGGGGCTGTTGTGACTCAAATTCATAAAATGCTTCCAGTGGGTACCAGCTACTAGGGCCCTAGAGACAAAAGGTACCACTGGGTACCCTGAGGCTGAAATATTCTTGATGTGTCCATGGACCCTTTTTGTTGTAATGGCTCTGACCCAAGGCTTTCTTCTTTGGCAATAGCCTCTCCCCATTTTTCTGCAGTTGGGTAGCTGCTAAGCATGGAGTCCCAAGGCTAGGGACAATGTGGGCTTAGCTTCTAGCATCAGCATCACTCAGCCCTTGCCTCAAGCCAAAGCTGCCCCTGTGGTCCCTTGGCTGGAGGTGACAGCTCCTGGTTTCTGTCCCTGCTCAGACCTCCGCGGGCTGTGGATTTACAAGCTGGAGAGCCGAGTGGGTATCAACTACCGGCTGAAGTGCCTGGCATGGACGGGGCGGCAGCAGGAGCCGCGGGCATGGAGCCAGGGCCTGCCCGCCTGCCCCTGCTCCCTGCAGCAAGGGCAGCAGGACCCCCGCTTCAAGAGCAGCCGTGGAGGTAAGTGAGCACACCACCTCCCTCCGTCCTCATGTCCAAACTGTCCCTTCCCACCTCCCCTGCGAGGGTGTCTGGGGTCCCGCTGGGAGGGTGGGCAGGTGATCCCATAGAAAATGGGAGGAGAGGGGCTGCTCTTCCCTACAGAGACGGAAATAGAGGAGGAACAAGGGCTGACCTGCCCCTGTCTTATTAAACTGGATGGAGCTGGTCCAAGCTGTATGGGGACAGTGGGAATGGACCCTCCGCAGCACCCAGGTCTCACCGTGGGGGATCACTTGGATGGTCTCTGTCAGTCCCTCCAAACCCCCATAGCACCACGGGTGGTGCAGTGGTAGTGATGGATAACAAGGAGCAAGCCCCAGCCCTGCTCCTTGTCCTGAGGCAAGGATGCTGGCTGGGGAGAGCTGTGGTCTAAGGCTCACTGCCACCCCATTGCAGGCTGGTGGGCTGCCCGTGTCTCCATGCTGCATTCCACCTCTCCCAACCAGCACGGTGCTGGCATCCGCTGCCTGTATGACAGTCAGAACCAGCTCATCGAGGGGCGGCAGGAGAGGTACTGGAGGCCCTTCAGGCAGGCGTCTCCCTACCGTGGTAAGCACAGCCACCCCTGGCATCCCCCGACTGAGGCTGGCATCGCTGTAGCCTCTAAATCACTTTAGTCTCCATGCCAGCCTCTTTCCTGACATGCTGTTGCCCTTGGAGGGAGTGTGGATCTCCCATAAGCTGAGGCAAGCGCCCTGCCTGCCCAGAGCCAGCCCATCTCCCTCTCTTCTCTCCTTCAGCCCCTTACTCTCCTTTTTGCCTCCAGACCAGGAGCTGAAGTTGTATGACTGGTGCTGTAATCAGGCTGGCAGTGCCCACCTCTGCGCCCGCTACAGTGAGAAGAGACCAAAGATTGGCTGTGATGGATACCAGTTACCTGGCATGGGTAGGTTTGCAGCCTGTGTGTGCTGGGGTGATGCTGTCTTGGTGCCCAGGGGTGCAGAGGGGAAAGTCCCAGCCACCCCATTGTTAAGGCAGCAAGAGCCCCACACAGATGAGGGATGGGTTTTGGGATGTCCAAATGCAGGCTGTGCTGTGCTCTGGGCTGTTGTGGGAAGCATCTCCCTTAGCAAACAACCACCAGTGTGGTCTGGGGGTGACAGCACAGGGAGGGGAGGAGGATTGCAACTAATGTGGTTATCGGTGTAAGTTGATGTGGGGCTTTATTGCAACCCCAGCAGGTTCCTCAGAGGAGTCAGAGAGCTACTCAGAGGAGCAGAGAGGTGAGCGGGATTGGGGATCTCCTCTCTGCCGGCCACTTTCCTTTGCCCCTGTCCCTCCATGTGGAAACTCCTCCAGGGCTCCCAGCTTACCAGGCCCTCAGGGAGGAGGTGGATGAGCAATTCTCATTTCTTTTTCTTTGCAGGTGGAGAGGATGAATAACTGTGGGATTGCACACCGACAGCATGGTCTGGGCCACAGCTCATCCTCTGAGTCCTTTGCTCCTGCTCATCCACTGTGTCCCTGCTCTATCCCCAGCACCCATCACCCTGCCCACCACACAAGGCAGCTCACTTGGCCAGTGCCTGCTCCACTGGCAGAAGTTCATGTTTCTAACCCAGACTTGTCCCAAGAACCAGTAGCTTTAGTTGCCCTTCCCCAGCTGCAGCTCAGTGGGTGTTCATGGGCATCTCCTTGCTGGCAGAAGATGGCCAGGTACCCCTCACCACATACACCATCTCTTTCTCCCACTGCATCCCACCACACCTCCCATGCAGCCAGGGGAGGTCGGACCCTTGGCACCTGGGGAAGGAATTTTTGCACCTTGCATGGGTTGACTGTGTTCAAGCCCCTGCGTGCCATGGTGTGCCAGGCTCACCCCATGAGCTGGACCTATCTTGTTCCCCATACCTTTGCTGGGTATGTGAGGGCAAAATGCAATCTCATGATCAGAAATTAGGAGAAAAATAATTATTTTGTGCCTAGAAGAGCATCTGCTCTTATCAATCTTACTTGTTCAATAAAACCTCTGAGGGGTCTGAGCATCACTATCCTGCAGCAGCTGTGTCCTCTTCTGAGCCAGGATGGGAGGCAGTGGTGGGGGCAGGCTTGGAGTAGCAGGACTGCAGGATGCTTCTGCCCTTGGAGTTGGTGCTGGGGATGTGAGTGTCCAGGCTGAGGCCAAGACAGGCTCTAGGGATGTGGGGCTGGAACCAGCATCTACTAGGGTCTGATACACCCACCTTAGGCATCTTCCCTCAGCAGGGCCATTTGTGGGGACCATAGCCCAACCTGCATGATCTGAGCCACTGTGAGTAGTGCCCGGCGAGAGCAGTGAGAGGAAACTTACAGCTCTGCAGGGAGAATGAGGGGATGGAGCAATCGAAAAAGGTACATCCATCTTGTCTTTGGTTCTGTGAATGGAACCAGCAGAAAGCAGGAACTTGAGAGCTTGATGACAAGGAAGGAGGGCTGGCACATGGGCACCATGGGGTGCAGGCAACTTAGCAGCATGCCATCATTGTTGATTTATTCTATTTTGTTCCTAATGGGTTATAATCACTGCATTGTTCCACTTGACCATATCAATGGCTCTGCTAGGTCTGGTTATGTTGCACTAAAGCATACCCCAGTGCAGACACACTCAAGGATTAACCCAGTTGCCTCTGCAAGGTCCTCAGTGGAAGGTAAAATCCTCTTGCTTTGGCCACCCACTGTAACAGCACATTTTTGATTCAATGAAAACACCTCCTCCAGAGTGAGTCCTCCCACAAACACTAGGCTCCAAAGGACAGCTGCCAGTCCCCTGCTTCCATGCAGGCGTTGTTGCTGAAGACCTTGGGAGCGGGTGGTGGGGCTGAAAGCAGCAGCTGGCTTCTCTGTGAGCCCAGAGGTGCTGGGGCAGGACCAGTGGCAAGCTAAGGCTGATGGGGGAGCTGGCTTGGAGGCCTGATGTGGGGTCTCTGGATCCTCATCTGTAAAGAAGGGACAAGCCACACTTTCTGTTGGTGCTGCTCTTTGTGATGAGCTCAACAGCACTGACACAAATGCCAGCCAAAGCATCCGTGGTGCTCTGGCATGAGGCATGGCTCCTGAGCATCTTGGAGGCACAAGGCTAGGACATCTGTCCCCATCCCACAGCCCCCCATTCCGACCCACGATGGGGACAATAACCCCTGGGCATACCTGGACTAGGGGGTCAATGGGCTGGAGCTGCAGTTCCCAAAGGCTTTCCATGGGGTGAGAGTGGATGGGCTCTGCTTGCTCTCCTGCCATCATCAGAGCTGGAGTGGGGAAGATGATCAGAGGTCAAGGAAGACTGGGGTGAAGCAGAGCTGGTGTGAGGAGGTGTTGCAGGGATGTACTCACAGGAGAAGGGCCGTGGCATCCAGAAGGTGTCCCTGGCCCTGGGAGGGGAGAAAACAAAGGGGATGACATGTCAGGGGAGTCTGGTAGAGCCCCTGCCTGACCTTGGCTCCTGACCAACTTTTTCTAGACCAACATGAATAGCAGTGGAAATTATTTGTATGGGATTCAAATTAAAATTAAATAGAAAGCCTGTCTGTAATTGAGCACTAGGTGGGATGAAGAAGAAATACAAATATTCCCTTGACACAGGGAAAAAAGGTAAGCTAATGTTCAACCCACTGATGTTATCATACCTCTGGGCAGCAGATGACTAGGAAGATGCTAAAAGATCACCCAGCCCAGCCTCTTCCCCATGGCAAGCTCCCTCTGCCCAGGCCAGATGAGTTCCACTGGTGGTGGGTCTTCCAGAGATGGATTTTCCGCCAGCTTTTGCTGCTGACACCCAAACTCCTTTCCCTGCTGCACCCACAGCACCCCCCACCATGGTCCAGCCTATGGCTCACCCCTCGTGCCGGCGGCGCTGCTGGTGGCAGAGGTGTGAGGCCAGGCAGACGATGGCAAGTGAGAGGCAGAGCAGAGCCACGACTACCAGCAAGATGCTGAGGAAGGCAGTGAAGCTGATGGCCAGCTGCTCACACTGGGCACCGGCTGGAGAGAACATGGAGAAGGGCAGGCAGCTGTGGATAGGGAAAGACGAGAGGTGATGGAGAGGTGTGGGGAGAAGCAGCAGTGCCAGACGGCTTTGCACATCCCAGAGCTGCTGCTACCTGCAGGTGGGACCCTCGGGCAGGTGCTGACACTGGCCACCATGCTGGCAGTAGCCCTTCTTGCAAGGGGAGATGCAGATGAAGCCAATGGTCCCCACATAGTGAAGCTGGTATCCTTTGTAACCATACAGATTGCAAGGGAAATAGTGCCTCAGCTCAGCCACTGTCACTGGGGAGGGAAGGCATGGATTCGTCACCTCCCTGAGCTGGATCCATGCCTAGGGACTGCTGCCCACCTGCCCCCCCTGTGGTTGTTACATGAACCCCGGGGCACACAGGGTGATGAGAACAATGGGGACAGCAGGGTGCTCCTCCTGGGCTCCCCTGCAACTCACACTTCACCAGGTCAGTGATGTTGTCCCGGTGCAGGTGCTGGAAGAGGAGGCGAGTGCCTGCTTCCCGCTGTCCCCAGTGCCTGTTGAAGGCGCCAGTGATGGCCCCCGGCAGCTCCTCATTCAGGAATTGGATGACGGTGCCACGGCTGTCATAGGCAAACTCAGACACCACTGCGAAGGTGAAGCCATCACTGTCTGTCCTGCTGGGAAAAGATGGCAGAGCTGTTGCTGCATCACAGAATGACTGAGCCTCACTGTGCCTCAGTTTCCCCATTGGGTGTGTGGTAAAGAAGGAATGAGGCAGGAGATGGAAGGTGCCATGGGGCTTGTGTCTCCAAGGGTTTATCAGCATCAGGGCTGGTGGCTGGAACTGCCCTTTGTGCCCCAAACCCCATGGCACCAGGCCCAGCCTTCCTCTGCTGGCTCTCTGGGGTGGGCATGGGGCTGCTCCACAGCTGACTCACATTTGGGTGATGTTGGTGTTGCACTGGAAAGCCTTTACCTCCAGGGAGGCCAGGATGGCTGAGACCTGCGGTGGAGGAAATGGAAGGGCATTAGGGAGAGGCTGAAGGGCAGCGTGGGCACTGTGGCCAAGCCCCAGGGGCTGCTCTGGCCTTCCATTCACACACTGGGGACCTGGCACATGGCTGTAGCCAGCATCACATGGCTGGCGCTGCCTCCCTCCAGCCCTGTGGATCCATTGGATGCCTGTGAATCTCACAGGAGGGGAGCGCATGAAGGCATGGGCACCCCAAGCTGCCATGCTGCCTGGTGTGCTGGTGCATCCCCCTCCCTGAGCCCATCCCCTCTGGTGACATACAGTGCCATTGACTTCCTCGGCAGTGGCGTTTCGCAGCGTCCTGGCCCGCAGCCGAATGCTCCTCCGGGGCAGGCCTGCCAGGGGGAAGCACAGCAGCGCCTCTGCATCCCTGCACCGGCGTGAGCGGGGTTGGGGCTCACACCCACCGGGTACAGGCACCCACCTGCGCTGGGCAGCGGCCGAAAATCCCCCCCTGCCACCAGGCAGCGCTGGTCGGTGAAGGCCGGGGGGCAGGCGCAGCTGGGGGTGCAGGTGAGGGGGTGCAGGTGGCAGTGTCCCCCATTACTGCAGTATCCCGTGGGGCAGGAGCGGGAGCCGCAGGCTGAGCCACAGCCTGGCCCCTCCCCTGCAGGATGGGGAGCCCAGGTCAGGTTGAGGCACGAGCCTGGCTGCAGGCAGAGAGCCCCAGCCCACTGAGCCATCCCCAGCTGCTCTGTAGCACCTTTCTTACAAGTTTCATGTTTGGGGGTTTCTTTTTAACACATTAAGACTTTTAGTATAAATTCAGGTCCTCAAGGAAAAGCCCTGCACCTCCTCCTCCCAGCTGAAGCCTTTCGCCCTTGGGAAATCCCAGCTCACTGCATTAGAATAGGAGTGAAAACCATCACTCACCCACCCCCCCCTCCCTCCAGCCACCATAAAAAAAAGATTTTATTTTAGCCCCCACAACCTCTGCATGTGCATTTGAACTTTGATGGGATGAGATTTTTTTTTTTTCCCACAGAGAAAAATTGCATGAGAAAATTTTCCCTTCCCAGAGGAATACTGAGACCTGCAGCCTAGGAGTATGAGCAGTGGCTGGATTCCAGTCCCTTCCGTTAAAGACAGCAAGAGCTTGTATACAGAGCTCAGCTAGCTCCCCCTTCTCTCTCCCAGTTCGGGCTCCATGGGAGCCCTCTTCTGAGGCCCAGGGGATAGTGGGGATGAGAACAGTGCCCATACTCACCCTCCTCGCCAGCTGGGCAGGAGCAGGAGTAGCTGCCCACCGTGTTGGTGCACGTGGTGTTCCCTGGGCACACCGCCCCCTGAGCGCATTCGTCAATATCTGCCGAGGCAATGCAGCATGGCACCGGGAGAAGCACCTTGGTGGGGATCCCATGGGTGCCCTGGGGCCATGGCAAGCCCTTGTCACCTGAGCAGTGCCGCCCGTCACCAGTCAGGCCGGCTGGGCAGGGGCCGCAGCCAGCAAGGGAGTCGCAGCGCACTCCAGGGAAGCATCCCTGGGCACAGGGGTCCGGAGGGTCCTGGCAGAAGGGACCCGAGTAGCCGCCCTCACACCTGCAGGCTGCCAACTGGAAGGAGACGGTGACGCTGGCTTAGGGGACATGAGGAGGATGGATGGACAGAGAAGAGAGCTGTGGGGACAGGCACAGTGAGGCACTGGCTTTCCAGCACACTACCTGCAGGGAGGACCCCTCCACAGGGACAGTGTTGCTGTAATCGCACTCCTGGATCCTGCTGCAGCTGCAAAGTGTGAAGTGGAGCTGGAGGAGGGCAGAGAGGTTGTTGGACCCAATAGCCTCCAGGTCGATGGTGAGCGGGGCTGTCCCACGGGGCTCCCACGTCAAGGTGCCACTCTCTGCCAGGGGAGAGGTGGGAGTTAGAGGAGGTGGCAGTGAGCTGGTGGCCACTATCCCCCCATCCCATCCCCGCTGCCTCATTGCTCCTTCCTTACCCGATATGTTGAGCTCTGGTGAGAGGTGGGGGACAAAGTGTGCACCCAGCCCCACAGCATGGTACTGCCTCCTGACCCTTTCTGTCCTAAAGGCTGTGAGTGACGCGTCACCAGTGATGATGGGAGGGAAGGCATCTGACGAAAGAGCAGTCCAGCGCACAGCTGGTTGGTAGCTACACATGGCTCTGAGTCCCTCATGGTGAGGACAGGACCCCAGGCAGATGCTACCATGACTGCCCACTGATGAGGCCCTTGTGTTGCACAGCGTGGTGGCATCTCCCAGGCTTTGAGACCAGCCAGCCAGGCAATGCAACTCTGAGACCTTGTTGACTTCTCTCCTGACTCACATGGAGCAAGAGAGGACAGTGTGAGAGCAGGGCACTGCCCAGTTACCAAAGCTATGACCTCTTAGAGGTCCACTTACTGAGTACTGTCTTCTTCTGCTGGAAGTCGGCTGTGAAGCTCTGGGTGGCCAGACCCAGGGCCATGTCCCCTGTGCTCAGTGAATCATAGATGCACTCCTTGCTGCCACGGCACTGTGAGGCTGCCAGCTGGTACTGGCTTTCACCCTCCTGCCGCAGCTGAGACAAGAAGATGGGTGTGAAGTTCATTGCTGGTAAGCCCAGAGGCTGAGTAAACAGGCTGTGCCCTCCAACAGCCCCTGCAAGAGAGTACGCCATGGGTATGGCCTTGGGTTTTTAAGGTTTCTTGTATTTTAAGTATAATTTCCGCAGAGCAGTGAGGAGACCAAAGGGCTTCCCTCGCATCACTTCTGCTCAGGCAAGTGTCAAAATGCCTCCAGCCAAAGTGTAGCCAGAAGGCACAGGAACAGGGGAATCATCAAGGTAGTTCCCAAGCCTGAACATACAGGTCAAACCATAGCTGTAGATCTCCTCCTCACTGCTGTTCACAGGGATGCTGGTACCATTTGGCATCTGGAAGTCGTCTGCGGGGTCATGGTCCCACACACCTGGTGAAGCATCACCAGAGGACTGAAGTCTCCCCAGGGTTGACCTCCTCTCTGGTGCTGACCCGTATTTAGTTTAGACTCAGAGGTCCCTGCCTTCAAAATATGTCATCCTCCCCCCTTCTTCCCCCAGTGTTTTCTAGTCTGCTTTAGGGTGGGAATGGGACTTTACACCCTGCCTCTGCAGCAGTGCCACAAGTCCTCACCCAGGAGGCCCTTGGTGCTGTTGCGGTATTGATCAGGAAGACTGCAGACCATGCTGAGGATCCTGGAGGTGGCAGAGATGGTGATGGCAATGGCCCCGTTGAAAACAGCTGTGATAGAAGAGGCATTGACCAGCAGGACACCAGGGCTGTAGTACACCTCAGCACCCACGTCTGCAAGGGAAGGAGAGCACAGAGGGAGAGTCCATGCAAGGCTGGGGTCTGAAATGATGCCCCAGAATTTGTGGAGGGGAATGCTCTCCATCCACCCTGGTTGAGTGGGGATGGTGACACTCATCACTTCTGCAGATACCTTTAACATTTAACAGCACAACCTGCTCACCTTGGGCATAGGAGAATTGGATGGTATCATGGTTCAGGAGGACTTGGATATCACCCCAGCTCCCCAGGGTCCACTCAACCTGCAAATCACAGCATATGTCCTGGTCAGCCCCTCTGCTCATCCCTTCCTGCCATCCCCCGCTGGTGGGGAGACTTGAGCTAAGCTGTGTCCTCCTCCAGCCCTGGCAGAGAAGCTCGGTGCCAGGGCCATTCACCAGGGCTGGATGTGCTCTTCATTCCCTTTAGAAGCTCAAACTGATACCCAGATTTCCTCTACTCACTGTTGTTGTGGTGGTGGAGGAGACGTACTGGGCGGCAAAGGCCACGAAATTGGTGGCCTGAGCCATGCCAGTCCGGACTGTGCGGCCGTGCAGCACAAAGCTGGTCTGGGCATCACTAGCCAGCAGCAGGGCAAAGTCCCCAAGGCCATTGAAGGTGTAGGTGAGTCCATCCATAGTGGTGATGTGGGGGTCCCCAAAGGCACCAGCTGTGGTCCAAAAGACATGGAGCCATTTTGGGGGAAGGAAAATAAGCCTGGTGTCAGGCAGGAAATGATGGTGCCATTTCATGGAGGAGAGCAGCCTCTGGATGCTCTCCAGAGGGGATCTGTGTACGGACATGTCACCCACCCAGTACCCTGGCACAGAGGAGGTAGAGCCCTGGGGACTCACCAGGGGTGGGTGGCACATATCCCTCGCAGCCAACCCTTGGTCTCTTCTCAGCAAACCTTGCACAGAACAGGGACTTCCCAACACGCCGGCAGCACCAGTCAAATGCCTCCAGCTCCCCATCTGAGGGGTAAGGCAGCTGGGTGACGGGGGTGTCGGGGTCCCCACTGCGTTTGCAGAGCGCTCAGTGTTTGGTGTGTAAAGTGTAAAGGCAGTGCTGATGCCCACTTACCAGTGGCGGGGTGAATGAGGAGGCTCCATGCTCTCTCCTGCCAGCCTTCAAGCAAGCTCCTATCTCGGTACAGACACCGCACCCCGGCTCCCGCCGGGCTGGGGGATGCAGTGCGCAGCATCCTCACGGAGGGGTCTGCTGGGCCTGAAATGGTGCGGGAGGATGACGGCCACCCCAGAGCAGAGGGGACCACATACCCGTGGCTGGCCCTGGGGGTGCTGCGCTTGGCACCTGCACTGCGGCGGAAGCGGGGATCCAGCTCTGCCTGGGGCCAGGAACAGGGGCATGGTGGGAGCTGAGCGTTCCAGGCGGCTGGTGATGGCTCTGCGTCCAGCCACGCCAGGCACCGCAGCCTATAGTTCACCCGAGAGCGGCTGTCCAGCCTGTAGACCCACAGACCACGCACATCTGGGAGCAATCAGAGAACAGCACCGCCCCACTGGGATCCCACCTTGCTCTGAGGGGGATCCCGTGGGACAACCGTCCCTGGCCATTGTCCTCACACAAAGTCTCCAGGCTCCCTCTAGAGCTGGCTTGGCTGTAGCAAGCCACAGCAGGACACAGGACACCCATGTTCTGCTCTCAGTGGCCAGCCCTGGCTCAGTGGCTTTGCTGGCCCATCACCTCACAGGGGCAAGTCCCGGGAACATGCTCCCAGCACAGAGCGCATGGATCCCCCCATCCTGACCTGCCTCATGGACTCCCCCCTCGTCATACCGGTGCTGGTGCTGCTGTGCTGGTCAGGTCGGTACTTGACAGCCGCTGGCTTCTGAGTCAGCTCGTTGTTTTGGGCATAGCCATTGCCGCTGTGTGGAGACACAAGGTTTGGGAGTCACCCTCCTAACACAACCCTCCTCCTCTCCTTGTAGAGCAGCTGGGATAGGAATTGCTATGGGGGAAGGGTTTAAATGGGACAGGGTTGCTTTAGGGGTGGGAGCTGGGCTTTCCTGGGGGTAAGGTCTCAGATGGTCCCAACATAATGCTGGGAGAAATCCCTGCTCCCTCAAAACACAGCCACACATGTGCATAGCACCTGGAGAAGCCAATCAGCACATTGTCTGCAGCCAACTTGGTGTAGTCCCACCGCATCCCGCCATCCTGGTACAGCAGCAGGGTGAAGGAACAGTTCCCATCAGTGGTGAGTATTGCCTGGTAGGTGCTCGTCTGGAGAATACAAGGCACTCCTTTAGCACCACCAAAGCCTCCCCTGCTCTCCCTGCAGTGCAGACTGTGGTGGTGAGACCTGAAACACCTGAATCAAGGTACAGGAGACCAGCAGCCCAGCTCTGCTCTGGCCATCGCTGGTGACAGTCCCCCCTGTCACCTGAGTCCCACACTGCTCACCCGAGTGTCATTCCTCTGGGACGGGTATGCTGGAGCCTTCTCCCATGTCACCTTCAAGGTCCATTTTGCTACATAGGGGATTTTCAGGTATTTCTTGATCTTTGCTTCCACATCATGAACAAGGGGGTCTCGAATAGAGCTGAGTGTGGAGTACTCCTGGTTGTCAAGAGAGAGAGTAAAAATGGGCAAGCTGGGAGCTGGGGTCTCCCAGGAGAGTACCTTTGTTTGCCCTGACCTGGTACCAAGTAGTGCCGACACCCTGGGAGAAATCTGCGTCGTCCCAGAAGGCAGCCACCATCGGCAAACCCTCCTGGCCACTGAAGCCCTGGGGAGGTGGGTTGGGATTGGAGGGGACGTAGTTGTCCGTGGGTGGGAAAATGATCTGTCCATTATCTGTAAACTAACCAGAATAACTTGTTCATTGCTGAATCCCAGGCAACTCCTGGGGAGGCCTTTAGCTCTCATGGGTGAGCTGAAAACAGGCATTTTTAACTGAAAAAAAATTATATTCAATGAAGTTCAGTTTCTGCTCCATTTCTGTAGGATATTATTCTACCAAAGAGCCTACACATCCCTGACATGCTCAGCAAGGTGGGAACTCACGTAGAGAGCATCCTGCAGTGAATTCCCAAAGGGGAACCCAATCTCTGGCTTGAACAGGGGGGAGTTAAAATCCACTGTCCGCTGGACACACTCCTGGTCCCCTTCCTTTGCACCGAAGGGGTAGAGCAAGGCTGCCGGCACTGAGATGGAAAGGAGAAAAACCGTTAATGTCTGCTCCATCTTTCCTATGGCCGGCGCACACCCACCTGCTTGCTGCCTGGATGCTGCACGTGTGCTACTCCTGGACAGACCACTGCTTGGACAGTGTAACCCAACTTTCAAACCAGTTTTTAACCTGGAACAGGCTCCCAGAAGTCTTATTTCATCTTTCATCATGAACCTCACAGATTAACATGCATTGTGGAAGAACTGCCCCAGGCTTGGCCATAGGTACCCTCAGACATCACGATGCTTCAACAGCTGATTAACCCCTTCCTGCTCTATGCTTTAGGATGAAGAAAATCTACTTACTTGTAATCCCACTGGTGAGTGCGAGTTCAGGGGCAGGATTTCTGTGAACAGTGGTGGAGTTGGAAGATGTGCTTGATGTTGTGGCCAGACCCTTCTGTGTCCCAAAGGCAGGAGCTGGGGCAGTGGTAGGTCTGGAGGTAACAGCTGGTTTCAAAGAAATGGTAGAGCCTGCAGGGAGGACATCTCCTGCCTCCTTGGCTGGACTCACTGAGAATTCAGGCGCAACAGCTGCAGTGCTCCCTGCAGGGATGGTTTTGAATCTGTCTGCAATAGTGGCTGTGGTTGTGTCTGCCGTGGTGGCTGTGATTGTGTCTGCAGGGATGGCTATGGGTCTCTCTGCAGTGATGTTTGTTTCTGCTGTGGAGGCTGTGGTTGTGTCTGCAGTCATGGTTGTGGTTGTGCCTGCACTGATGGCTGTGGTTGTGTCTGCAGTGATGGCTGTGGTTGTTTCTGCAGTGGTGGCTGTGGTTGTGTCTGCAGTGGTGGCTGTGGTTGTGTCTGCAGTGGTGGCTGTGATTGTGTCTGCAGTCATGGCAGTGATTGTGTCTGCAGTGATGGCTATGGGTCTCTCTGCAGTGATGTTTGTTTCTGCTATGGAGGCTGTGGTTGCGTCGGCAGTGGTGCGTGTGGTTGTGTCTGTAGTCATAGCTGTGGTTGTGTCTGCAGTGATGGCTGTGGTTGTTTCTGCAGTGGTGGCTGTGGTTGTGTCTGCAGTGATAGCTGTGGTTGTGTCTGCAGTGATGGCTGTGCTTTTTTCTGCAGTGGGGGCTGTGATCGTGTCTGCAGTGATGGCTGTGGTTGTGCCTGCAGTGGTGGCTGTGGTTCTACCGACAGTGGCGGCTGTGGTTGTTTCTGCAGTGATGGCTGTGGTTGTTTCTCCAGTGATGGCTGTATTTGTGTCTGAAGTCATGGCTGTGGTTGTGTCTGCACTGGTGACTATGGGTCTGTATGCAGTCATGGCTGTGGTTGTGTCTGCAGTGATGGCTGTGGTTGTGTCTGCACTGGTGGCTGTTGTTGTGTCTGCAATCATGGCTGTGGGTCTGTCTTCAGTGATGGCTGTGCTTGTTCCTACAGTGATGCCTGTGGTTGCGTCTGCAGTGATGGCTGTGTTTGTGTCTGTAGTCATGGCTGTGGTTGTGTCTGCACTGGTGGCTGTGGTTGTGCCTGCAGTGATCGCTGTGGTTGTGTCTGTAGTCATGGCAGTGGGTCCCTCTGCAGTCATGGCTGTGGTTGTGCCTGCAGTGATGGCTGTGGTTGTGTCTGCAGTGATGGCTGTATTTGTGTCTGCAGTGATGGCTGTGGTTGTGTTTGCACTGGTGGCTGTGGGTCTGTCTGCAGTGATGGCTGTGCTTGTTTCTGCCGTGGTGGCTGTGATCGTGTCTGCAGTGATGGCTGTGGTTGTGCCTGCAGTGATGGCTGTGATTGTGCCTGCAGTGATGGCTGTGGTTGTGTCTGTAGTGATGGCTGTGGTTGTGTCTGCAGTGATGGCTGTGGTTGTGTCTGCAGTGATGGCTGTGTTTGTTTCTGCAGTGGTGGCTGTGATCATGTCTGCAGTGATGGCTGTGCTTGTTTCTGCAGTGGTGGCTGTGATCGTGTCTGCAGTGATGGCTGTGGTTGTGCCTTCAGTGGTGGCTGTGGTTGTGTCTGCAGTGATGGCTGTGGATGCGTCTGCAGTGGTGGCTGTGGTTGTGTCTGCAGTGATGGCTGTGGTTGCGTATGCAGTGATCGCTGTGGTTGTGTCTGCACTGGTGGCTGTGGTTGTGTCTGCAGTGATGGCTGTGGTTGTGTCTGCACTGGTGGCTGTGGTTGTGTCTGCAGTGGTGGCTGTGGTTGTGTCTGCAGTGAGGGCTGTGGTTGTGTCTGCAGTGGTGCCTGTGGTTGTGTCTGCAATGGTGGCTGTGGTTGTGTCTGCAGTGGTGCCTGTGGTTGTGTCTGCAGTGATGGCTGTGGTTGTGTCTGCACTGGTGGCTGTGGTTGTGTCTGCAGTGGTGGCTGTGGTTCTGTCTGCAGTGGTGCCTGTGGTTGTGTCTGCAGTGATGGCTGTGGTTGTTTCTGCAGTGGTGGCTGTGGTTGTGTCTGCAGTGAGGGCTGTGGTTGTGTCTGCAGTGGTGGCTGTGGTTGTGTCTGCAGTGGTGGCTGTGGTTGCGTATGCAGTGATCGCTGTGGTTGTGTTTGCACTGGTGGCTGTGCTTGTGTCTGCAGTGATGGCTGTGGTTGCGTATGCAGTGGTGGCTCTGGTTGTGTCTGCAGTGATGTCTGTGCTTGTTTCTGCAGTGGTGGCTGTGATCGTGTCTGCAGTGATGGCTGTGGTTGTGTCTACAGTGATGGCTGTGGATGCGTCTGCAGTGGTGGCTGTGGTTGTGTCTGCAGTGATGGCTGTGGTTGCATATGCAGTGATCACTGTGAGTCTATCTGCAGTGTTCGCTGTGGTTGTTTCTGCAGTGGTGGCTGTGGTTGTGTCTGCATTGGTGGCTGTGGTTGTGTCTGCATTGGTGCCTGTGGTTGTGTCTGCAGTGATGGCTGTGGTTGTTTCTGCAGTGATGGCTGTGGTTGTGTCTGCAGTGAGGGCTGTGGTTGTGTCTGCAATGGTGGCTGTGGTTGTGTCTGCAGAGATGGCTGTGCTTGTTTCTGCAGTGTTGGCTGTGTTTGTGTTTGCACTGGTGCCTGTGGTTGTGTCTGCAGTGATGGCTGTGCTTGTTTCTGCAGTGGTGGCTGTGGTTGTGTCTGCAGCGATGGCTGTGGATGCGTCTGCAGTGGTGGCTGTGGTTCTGTCTGCAGTGATGGCTGTTTTTGTTTCTGCAGTGATGGCTGTGTTTGTGTTTGCACTGGTGCCTGTGGTTGTGTCTGCAGTGATGGCTGTGGTTCTGTCTGCAGTGATGGCTGTGGTTGTGCCTGCAGTGATGGCTGTGGTTGTGCCTGCAGTAGTGGCTGTGGTTGTGTCTGCAGTGATGGTTGTGGATGCGTCTGCAGTGGTGGCTGTGGTTGTGTCTGCAGTGATGGCTGTGGTTGCGTATGCAGTGATCGCTGTGAGTCTGTCTGCAGTGTTCGCTGTGGCTGTGTCTGCAGTCATGGCTGTGGTTGTGTCTGCAGTGGTGGCTGTGGTTGTGTCTGCAGTGATGGCTGTGGTTGTTTCTGCAGTGGAGGCTGTGGTTGTGTCTGCAGTTATGGCTGTGGGTCTGTTTGCAGTGATGACTGTGGTTGTGTTTGCAGTGGTGGCTGTGGGTCTGTCTGCAGTGATGGCTGTGCTTGTTTCTGCAGTGGTGGCTGTGGTTGTGTCTGCAGTGATGGCTGTGGTTGTGTCTGCAGTGGTGGCTGTGGTTGTGTTTGCACTGGTGGCTGTGGGTCTGTGTGCCGTGATGGCTGTGCTTGTTTCTGCAGTGATGGCTGTATTTGTGTCTGCAGTGATGGCTGTGGTTGTGTCTGCAGTGGTGCCTGTGGTTGTGTCTGCAGTGATGGCTGTGGTTGTGTCTGCAGTGGTGCCTGTGGTTGTGTCTGCAGTGATGGCTGTGGTTTTGTCTGCAGTGGTGCCTGTGGTTGTGTCTGTAGTCATGGCTGTGGTTGTGTCTGCAGTGGTGGCTGTGGTTGTGTCTGCAGTGATGGCTGTAGTTTTGTCTGCAGTGATGGCTGTGGGTCTGCCTGCAGTGATGGCTGTGGTTGTGTTTGCACTGGTGGCTGTGGGTCTGTCTGCAGTGATGGCTGTGCTTGTTTCTGCAATGGTGGCTGTGGTTGTGTCTGCAGTGGTGGCTGTGTTTGTGTCTGCAGTGATGTCTGTGCTTGTTTCTGCAGTGGTGGCTGTGATCATGTCTGCAGTGATGGCTGTGGTTGTGCCTGCAGTGGTGGCTGTGGTTGTGTCTGCAGTGGTGGCTGTGGTTGTGCCTGCAGTGGTGGCTGTGGTTGTGTCTGCAATGGTGTCTGTGGTTGTGTCTGCAGTGGTGCCTGTGGTTGTGTCTGCAGTGATGGCTGTGGTTGTGTCTGCACTGGTGGCTGTGGTTGTGTCTGCAGTGATGGCTGTGCTTGTTTCTGCAGTGGTGGCTGTGATCGTGTCTGCAGTGATGGCTGTGGTTGTGTCTGCAATGGTGGCTGTGGTTGTGTCTGCAGTGATGGCTGTGGTTGTGTCTGCAGTGATGGCTGTGGTTGTGCCTGCAGTGGTGGCTGTGGTTGTGTCTGCAATGGTGGCTGTGGTTGTGTCTGCAGTGGTGCCTGTGGTTGTGTCTGCAGTGATGGCTGTGGTTGTGTCTGCACTGGTCGCTGTGGTTGTGTTTGCACTGGTGGCTGTGGTTGTGTTTGCACTGGTGGCTGTGGGTCTGTCTGCAGTGATGGCTGTGCTTGTTTCTGCCGTGGTGGCTGTGATCGTGTCTGCAGTGATGGCTGTGGTTGTGTCTGCAGTGGTGGCTGTGGTTGTGTCTGCAGAGATGGCTGTGGTTGTGCCTGCAGTGGTGGCTGTGGTTGTGTCTGCAATGGTGGCTGTGGTTGTGTCTGCAGTGGTGGCTGTGGTTGTGTCTGCAATGGTGGCTGTGGCTGTGTCTGCAGTGGTGCCTGTGGTTGTGTCTGCAGTGATGGCTGTGGTTGTGTCTGCAGTCATGGCTGTGATCGTGTCTGCAGTGATGGCTGTGCTTGTTTCTGCAGTGGTGGCTGTGATCGTGTCTGCAGTGATGGCTGTGGTTGTGTCTGCAATGGTGGCTGTGGTTGTGTCTGCAGTGGTGCCTGTGGTTGTGTCTGCAGTGATGGCTGTGGTTGTGTCTGCAGTGATGGCTGTGGTTGTGTCTGCAGTGATGGCTGTGGTTGTGCCTGCAGTGGTGCCTGTGGTTGTGTCTGCAGTGATGGCTGTGGTTGTTTCTGCACTGGTGGCTGTGATCGTGTCTGCAGTGATGGCTGTGCTTGTTTCTGCAGTGGTGGCTGTGATCGTGTCTGCAGTGATGGCTGTGGTTGTGTTTGCACTGGTGGCTGTGGTTGTGTCTGCAATGGTGGCTGTGGTTGTGTCTGCAGTGATGGCTGTGGTTGTGTCTGCAGTGGTGGCTGTGGTTGTGTCTGCAGTGATGTCTGTGCTTGTTTCTGCAGTGGTGGCTGTGATCGTGTCTGCAGTGATGGCTGTGGTTGTGTCTGTAGTGATGGCTGTGGTTGTGTCTGCAATGGTGGCTGTGGTTGTGTCTGCAGTGGTGCCTGTGGTTGTGTCTGCAGTGATGGCTGTGGTTGTGTCTGCACTGGTGGCTGTGATCGTGTCTGCAGTGATGGCTGTGGTTGTGTTTGCACTGGTGGCTGTGGTTGTGTCTGCAATGGTGGCTGTGGTTGTGTCTGCAGTGATGGCTGTGGTTGTGTCTGCAGTGGTGGCTGTGATCATGTCTGCAGTGATGGCTGTGGTTGTGCCTGCAGTGGTGGCTGTGGTTGTGTCTGCAATGGTGGCTGTGGTTGTGTCTGCAGTGGTGCCTGTGGTTGTGTCTGCAGTGGTGGCTGTGGTTGTGTCTGCAGTGATGGCTGTGGTTGTGTCTGCAGTGGTGGCTGTGGTTGTGTCTGCAGTGATGTCTGTGCTTGTTTCTGCAGTGGTGGCTGTGGTTGTGTCTGCAGTGGTGCCTGTGGTTGTGTCTGCAGTGATGGCTGTGGTTGTGTCTGCACTGGTGGCTGTGATCGTGTCTGCAGTGATGGCTGTGGTTGTGTTTGCACTGGTGGCTGTGGTTGTGTCTGCAATGGTGGCTGTGGTTGTGTCTGCAGTGATGGCTGTGGTTGTGTCTGCAGTGGTGGCTGTGATCATGTCTGCAGTGATGGCTGTGGTTGTGCCTGCAGTGGTGGCTGTGGTTGTGTCTGCAATGGTGGCTGTGGTTGTGTCTGCAGTGGTGCCTGTGGTTGTGTCTGCAGTGGTGGCTGTGGTTGTGTCTGCAGTGATGGCTGTGGTTGTGTCTGCAGTGGTGGCTGTGGTTGTGTCTGCAGTGATGTCTGTGCTTGTTTCTGCAGTGGTGGCTGTGATCGTGTCTGCAGTGATGGCTGTGGTTGTGTCTGCAGTGGTGCCTGTGGTTGTGTCTGCAGTGATGGCTGTGGTTGTGTCTGCAGTGGTGGCTGTGGTTGTGTCTGCAGTGATGTCTGTGCTTGTTTCTGCAGTGGTGGCTGTGATCGTGTCTGCAGTGATGGCTGTGGTTGTGTCTGCAGTGATGGCTGTGGTTGTGTCTGTAGTGATGGCTGTGGTTGTGTCTGCAATGGTGGCTGTGGTTGTGTCTGCAGTGGTGCCTGTGGTTGTGTCTGCACTGGTGGCTGTGATCGTGTCTGCAGTGATGTCTGTGCTTGTTTCTGCAGTGGTGGCTGTGATCGTGTCTGCAGTGATGGCTGTGGTTGTGTTTGCACTGGTGGCTGTGGTTGTGTCTGCAATGGTGACTGTGGTTGTGTCTGCAGTGGTGCCTGTGGTTGTGTCTGCAGTGATGGCTGTGGTTGTGTCTGCAGTGGTGGCTGTGGTTGTGTCTGCAGTGATGGCTGTGGTTGTGTCTGCAGTGATGTCTGTGCTTGTGTCTGCAGTGATGGCTGTGATCGTGTCTGCAGTGATGGCTGTGGTTGTGCCTGCAGTGGTGGCTGTGTTTGTGTCTGCAATGGTGGCTGTGGTTGTGTCTGCAGTGGTGCCTGTGGTTGTGTCTGCAGTGATGGCTGTGGTTGTGTCTGCAGTGGTGGCTGTGGTTGTGTCTGCACTGGTGGCTGTGGTTGTGTCTGCAGTGATGGCTGTGCTTGTTTCTGCAGTGGTGGCTGTGATCATGTCTGCAGTGATGGCTGTGGTTGTGCCTGCAGTGGTGGCTGTGGTTGTGTCTGCAGTGATGGCTGTGGTTGTGTCTGCACTGGTGGCTGTGGTTGTGTCTGCAGTGATGTCTGTGCTTGTTTCTGCAGTGGTGGCTGTGATCGTGTCTGCAGTGATGGCTGTGGTTGTGTCTGTAGTGATGGCTGTGGTTGTGTCTGCAATGGTGGCTGTGGTTGTGTCTGCAGTGGTGCCTGTGGTTGTGTCTGCACTGGTGGCTGTGGTTGTGTCTGCACTGGTGGCTGTGATCGTGTCTGCAGTGATGGCTGTGGTTGTGTTTGCACTGGTGGCTGTGGTTATGTCTGCAATGGTGGCTGTGGTTGTGTCTGCAGTGGTGCCTGTGGTTGTGTCTGCAGTGATGGCTGTGGTTGTGTCTGCACTGGTGGCTGTGGTTGTGTCTGCAGTGATGTCTGTGCTTGTTTCTGCAGTGGTGGCTGTGGTTGTGTCTGCAGTGGTGCCTGTGGTTGTGTCTGCAGTGATGGCTGTGGTTGTGTCTGCACTGGTGGCTGTGATCGTGTCTGCAGTGATGTCTGTGCTTGTTTCTGCAGTGGTGGCTGTGATCGTGTCTGCAGTGATGGCTGTGGTTGTGTTTGCACTGGTGGCTGTGGTTGTGTCTGCAATGGTGGCTGTGGTTGTGTCTGCAATGGTGGCTGTGGTTGTGTCTGCAGTGGTGCCTGTGGTTGTGTCTGCAGTGGTGGCTGTGGTTGTGTCTGCAGTGATGGCTGTGGTTGTGTCTGCAGTGGTGGCTGTGGTTGTGTCTGCAGTGATGTCTGTGCTTGTTTCTGCAGTGGTGGCTGTGATCGTGTCTGCAGTGATGGCTGTGGTTGTGTCTGTAGTGATGGCTGTGGTTGTGTCTGCAATGGTGGCTGTGGTTGTGTCTGCAGTGGTGCCTGTGGTTGTGTCTGCAGTGATGGCTGTGGTTGTGTCTGCACTGGTGGCTGTGATCGTGTCTGCAGTGATGTCTGTGCTTGTTTCTGCAGTGGTGGCTGTGATCGTGTCTGCAGTGATGGCTGTGGTTGTGTTTGCACTGGTGGCTGTGGTTGTGTCTGCAATGGTGGCTGTGGTTGTGTCTGCAGTGGTGCCTGTGGTTGTGTCTGCAGTGATGGCTGTGGTTGTGTCTGCAATGGTGGCTGTGGTTGTGTCTGCAGTGATGGCTGTGGTTGTGTCTGCACTGATGTCTGTGCTTGTGTCTGCAGTGGTGGCTGTGATCGTGTCTGCCGTGATGGCTGTGGTTGTGCCTGCAGTGGTGGCTGTGGTTGTGTCTGCAATGGTGGCTGTGGTTGTGTCTGCAGTGGTGCCTGTGGTTGTGTCTGTAGTGGTGGCTGTGGTTGTGTCTGCAGTGATGGCTGTGGTTGTGTCTGCAGTGATGGCTGTGGTTGTGTCTGTAGTGATGGCTGTGGTTGTGTCTGCAATGGTGGCTGTGGTTGTGTCTGCAGTGGTGCCTGTGGTTGTGTCTGCAGTGATGGCTGTGGTTGTGTCTGCACTGGTGGCTGTGATCGTGTCTGCAGTGATGGCTGTGGTTGTGTTTGCACTGGTGGCTGTGGTTATGTCTGCAATGGTGGCTGTGGTTGTGTCTGCAGTGGTGCCTGTGGTTGTGTCTGCAGTGATGCCTGTGGTTGTGTCTTCAGTGGTGGCTGTGGTTGTGTCTGCAGTGATGTCTGTGCTTGTTTCTGCAGTGGTGGCTGTGATCGTGTCTGCAGTGATGGCTGTGGTTGTGTCTGTAGTGATGGCTGTTGTTGTGTCTGCAATGGTGGCTGTGGTTGTGCCTGCAGTGGTGGCTGTGGTTGTGTCTGCAATGGTGGCTGTGGTTGTGTCTGCAGTGGTGCCTGTGGTTGTGTCTGCAGTGATGGCTGTGGTTGTGTCTGCACTGGTGGCTGTGGTTGTGTTTGCACTGGTGGCTGTGGGTCTGTCTGCAGTGATGGCTGTGCTTGTTTCTGCCGTGGTGGCTGTGATCGTGTCTGTAGTGATGGCTGTGGTTGTTTCTGCAGTGGTGGCTGTGGTTGTGTCTGTAGTGATGGCTGTGGTTGTTTCTGCAGTGATGGCTGTGCTTGTTTCTGCAGTGGTGGCTGTGGTTGTGTCTGCACTGGTGGCTGTGGTTGTGTCTGCAGTGATGGCTGTGGGTCTGTTTGCAGTGATGACTGTGGTTCTGTCTATAGTCATGGCTGTGGCGCTGTCTGTAGTCATGGCTGTGGTGGTTTCTGCAGTGATGGCTGTGGGTCTGTCTGCAGTGGTGGCTGTCATGCTCCCCGCATTGATGTCCATTGTGCTCTTTGCAGTGATGGCTCTCTGTCTTTCTGAAGTCATGGTTGTTTTCTTCCCCCAGGCAGATACCAAAGTTGATGTCCATACGGCAGGAGTTAATGTGCTCGCTGCCTGTCTCATGGTATGGTTGCTGATAGCTCCGGGCAAAGTGGTGCCTGTTTCCGGCTGTGAGAGAATCTCTCTGGCTCTTGCCTCCCCACTTGCATGTAATCCAAGCAGAGATGACGGTACAGTTGCTGGCTCCCCTGCTGGTATGTGCGGGCTTGAGAGGAATGAACTAGGCACCGTGATGGCAGGGCTGGTACTGAGCACTCCCCAGGTCCTTGCAACTATGTCCACCACGGGGCTGCGTGCTGCTGGGTGTAGGACAGGTTGCCCACCTCCACCTCCCTTCATATGCATTACAGCGAGGGACAATGCTCTGCTGGTGGTGGTGGCCTTTGCTGTGGCAGATACCATGGTTGCAGTGGTCCCAGTCATCACAGAGTTCTCCCATCTGGCTGAGGTGCTGTGTAGGATGCTGTTGCTAGAGAGCATGCTGGCAGCTGGTGTTGTGGCTGGGCTTGTGCCACCACTAGTGGAAACAGGCCCATAGGTGCTGTCGGTGCTGGCTGAGGGTGCTGCACCCTTGGCACCGCTCTCCAAAGGGGTGTTGTCCGCCTGAGCAGCGGTAACCCCAGCACCTGTCCGGGATGCAGCTGCAGTCTCCCACACGTGTGTGAGGCCAACAGCCAGTGAGGAGCCCGCAGCTATGGGCTCATCCTCAGTGACTGGACTGTGAGCTTTCAAGGCTGGGTCTTGTCTGCTATTGGTGGCCTCATGGAATGGCCTTGGGGTGACAGTGGAGGTACCGCTGGGGACAGCCGAAGGGAGTGTTGTCGTGATCCTTTCCAGCCTAGCATCACCTGCTCCTGATGCTGGATGAGTGATGGTGATGCTGGGTGTGACGGAGGGTGCTACCACGACTAGATGAGTGCTCCTGGGGACAGGAGATGACACACTGACCTCTGGCTCAGCAGGACTGTGAGTGAGACCAGGAACCAGCTCCGGAGCTGTAAGTGACACTGTGCCCATGATGGCCACTGCTGTAGGGCTTTTGCTGCCTGGGCCAGAGTGTGCCAACAAGGTGGCATCACCACTGCCTGGCTCAGCCACCCCAGCCATCAGAGTGGGCAACCGCAGAGGCAGCCCCATAGCCCTGTTCCTTGTGGTGGCAGAAGCTGTGTCCATGTCCAAGTCCATGCCCATGTCCAGGCCCATGGTGGGCCCAGCAGTATGATAGTTGTGGTCCCAAGCAGCGGCATGGGCTGTGGCAGAGGGTGATTCCAGCAGGGCAGTCTCTAGGGTGGTGCTGCCACTGAGAGGGGTGCCTACCACAGCACCCACCCTTGTATTTTCAGCCGGGGTTGAGTCTAGAACTGCCTGCATGGTGCTGCCATCTTCTTTCAGCTGGGACTTGTCCCTGCCTCCCTCCACAGCTGCATTTTTGGGGGGTGGCTGGGGTGTCTTGCCGGTGGTGGCACTGCGGAGGGGACTGGCTGTGGCTGGTGCTGGGCTTGGGTTAGCCATGGCTGGTAGAGAAGAGTGACCACCCCTGGGAGGCAGAACATGCAGATCCATGGTGGGGCTGATTTCAGGAGCCTCAGTCCTTTTGGCAGGTGTCTCTGGTGATGATTCCGCACTGATAATCGCATGGCCAGAAGCTGGCCCTTCTGCTCCACCAGCATCTGTGAGGGACAAGGTCATGGCCATGCTGGGTCCAGCTGGAAGGGATCCACCTGCAGCCACCTCTGCTGTGGTGGCCTCAGGGCCTGCTGAGAGCATGTGGGGCAACAGAGACCCTGTGGAGTGCACTGTGGAGTGCAGAAAGGGCCCTGGAGAGGGACCACCAGGGCTATCTGAAGCTTCATGAGGGGACAGCTTCATGCTGAGCCTCACCAGGGTGGCCTTGGTCTCCAGGGGAGAAGTACCTCTTGTGGCTCTGGCTTTGTTCCTGATGGATGCCAGCTCAGTGCCAGTGCTTCCCAGAGCTGCAAACAATGGAGTGGGGACTTGCTCTGCAGTAGTGATGTCCATCACCATAGCTGGTGTGCCTGGAGCTACTGCGGTGGCCTGGGAGTGGGTGACAGCATTGGCTCCAGCAGTGCCAAGGGCTCCACTGTGGCTAGAAGAGAGCACCTCTCCTGTGCCTGGTACAGCACCATGAGGGAGCAGAGGCAAAAGGCCTGGAGGTGGCTGAGTGGAGGGCAAAGGGGAGTCCTGCAGGGCACTGTGGCCAGCACTGGATAAGGAACGTGTCCCTGGCTCTGTAGCCTCGCTGGTGCCAGTTGTGGCAGAAGAAAAGTTGACCTTTGCTGAGGATGTACTTGGGTTGTCTGCAGATGGTGGGGCTGCCATTCTAGCTCCCTCTGTGGCTGCATGGGTTGGGGCACCATGGAGGCCAGTAGCAGGGCTGGCTGGGGCTGCCGCCAACTTCATGGTGTTGCCTGTGTCCTGAAAGATGCTGGTTGTTGTGGCCAGAGGTGAGGTGGCCTTGTCCAGCCCTAGCACGTCCTCCTGGGATGGGAGAATGGAGGTTGCATGCGGCTCAGCAGAGCTCTCACTGGTGCTGTGGACTAACATCCACATGCTGTGCTTATCCTGGTGGAACGATGCTGTCCCTGGCATCCCCTCTGCAGTGATACCATTGCCCAGCTGAACCAACTCATGGGCATCAGTCAATTTGCCAGTTACTGAAGAAGATGCTTTAGTCCCTGGCACTGGTTGAGCAGCTGGGACGTGTGCCACTGGTGGTGACAGACCTCCACTTGGAGCTGGGGAAGAACCTTTCAGTGCACCAGCAGCATCAGCGGGTGGCTTGGCCACAGTGCCTTTTTGCATGGGAACAGTTGTTCCCAGGAGTGACTCTCCAGGGATGCTGTGCAGAGCCACTCCTGGCCCTTCCACAGTTTGCGTGGGAGCAGCACTGCTCTTTGATAATGGTTTGCTCATCCCCATTACAGCGGGGATACGTGGAGCTGGGGACGATGTGACTGTAGCTGGCCCAGCAATGCTACCACCTGTGGCAAGATCCACTGCATGCCCTGTCTGCACGAGGGACGGAAGCTGTGCATGCCAAGTGGTGGGAGTTGGAGGGACGCTGGTGGGGTGGCTGGCCGCACCTGGAGAGGAGACTCCAGCCCCTGCCTGGGGTCTGCCTTGTGTTGACGGATCCCTGGGGAGAGCTGCCACAGTGGGAGACCCCTGCTGCTCACCGCTGGCTCTGCCTGGGACCAGCCCTCCCGCCACCACCTCCGGCACCAGGCTGCCTGTGGGGCGAGACAAGGCAGCCCCAGCTGGATCAACCCCACCGCGGCCCCAGCAGGCAGGAGCCCGCCCGCAGCCAGCTGCCCGCCGGCCTTACCTGCGCGCACGGAGATGGTGGTGATGGTTCTCCTGCCCGCGGGAGAGGGGTGCTCCGGCCGGGCAGCTGCGGAGCTGGGGAACGCCTGGCACATGCCCAGGTCTGGAGGCAGCTCGGCACTAGCGCTGTCGGCCAAGAGGGAGGTGCTGCCCGGCTCTACCGGGGCAAGGGGCTGCTGCCCCGTCCCCTCGGCTTGAGCTGGAGGCGGAGCAGGTTGGTAACGGCAGGATGAGGAAAAAAACCAGCCTGGGGTCCCCATCATCCCCATCCCTCCTCCCTGCTGCAGTAGGAAGGTGCTCCCACCCCCTGGGGCTGGTCCCCATCGCAGCACCCACAGCCGGACCAACATCAAGAGCAAGACAGGTATGTTCCCACAAGTAAGAGACCCCATTTGACCCACCACCGACCCTCTGTTACCGTACTAACGGTCAGGGAACCATGCTGAGACTGTCAGTAGCTGGCAGAGGTGGGGTGAACCCCAGCCGGGCATGGGCTCACAGCATTCGAGGAGCCGAAGAGCTGTTCGCAGCACATCACCAATCACCCAGATGGTATCGGCCACCTCGTCTGTCCCGCAGCAGTGTGGGTACCCCGGCACTTACCTGGCAGCACCCAGAAACCCCACAGCACGCAGCTCCAGAGTGGCCCCTGGCCCCAGCAACCCATCATGATTTCTCGACGGCAGGGACAGGACTGCAGCTCTCTCTGTCCCAGCGGAGCAACGCAAGGGGGTGGCTCCACCAGTGAGCACTCCCTCAGGTGGGGAGGACAGGACGCCACATACCCCGCCTGGGGCACTGATTTACCCTGCCTGGGGCACTGATGGCTCCTGTCCTCACAGCCCGCCACAGCCATGGCTATGTCCATGTCCTGGGGACCCACTGATGCTGGGGAACACACATTGTGCCATGGGAAGTTTCAAGGTCCTTGATCCCATGGTTGACACCCCAAGGTTGGGGGCTCCAGAACCCGGAAAGCACACCATGGGTTGCCAAGTCACCTGTGCCAAGGGCCCTGGGATGGCGTGTGGAGACAGGGGTCCCCAGCACCTCTGGGGCGGGGGGGGGGGTGGGGTGGGGGGGGTGGGTCAGCCCCGGGCTCTTCATCCTCTCATCAACCCCCCTGTTTACTGCTGGGTCCCTGCTATGCTTGGCCGCGGCTGATAACCCCCAGCAGGGGTTGGTTTGCAGCCAAGGAGGAAGAAGGAAGGAGCAGTCTCCTGCTGCACCCTCGGGGTCTTGCGTGTGAGCCCTGCCCCTGTCACCTCCTGGCGCTGCCAGCACCGCTGCCCGGGGACCTGTGTGCAGGGGTTATCAGTGCCATCGCGGCAAACAGCCACGTAAGCCTGGCAGGGAGGGCCTCTTCCCACATGGGCAGGAGGGCTGGGCCTTGTCCTGGGTTGCAGGTCACCTTCCACTGGGGACAGAGGCAACCTCACCGTGCAAAGGGAACCAGTGGGGCCACTTCAGCAAACACAGGTTTGCTTCTTCACAGAGCCTAGCCTAGACCAGCTTGGGCACCATTTAAAGATGAGAAGTAAGTTGGTGAAGCTGTTGCGCCTTCCTCGCTTCATTGACAGCCATCTTCCCCCAGCTGCCATGCTATGGTAGCTGCACTTTAAATGGGGAAACTGAGGCCCAGAGGGTCCAAAGCACCTGTGCATGACTGCTCCCATGGCAGCATCAGCAAACCTCTCCGTTCCCATGCTTAGGGAAGGCCAGGGTGCACATAGCACATAGCTGATGTAGCCAGACACCACTGCCACAGGGAAGGACACATGAACATGCTGAGGCAGCCCTTCCTGCCAGGCGATTCACCACACATGGTGGAGTCACTCCTCTGAAGCCACCAGCTCTGGAGCAGAAGGCATCCTGTGGACCAGGCACGACCAAAGCCCAGGGACTGATTTTTGGGAACTGAGGTCCACCATGCTCCACATTGGTTTCTCCTACACACTCAGAGACCCCTTCCTGCTGCTGCCACCTCAGGAAAGCCAGCTGAGGGGCTCTGACAGCGACTGGGGGGGCCTGGGACCCCACAGGAGCCATCCCCCCCTCCTCCAACACCTGGCTCTGGCTGCGCGGTGGCATCTGGTTGCACAACGCCCCTCGCGTGGGCCGGGGAGCAAGGCAGGTCCCGGCACTCCCTGCCTGGGCATGAGTCAGGCGTCACCAGGATCCAAACCTTGGGGCACTGGGAAAGGGGGGCCCTGCTGCAGGACATTGCTGGGGGCAATACTGCCTCCTCACAGCAGGAGAAACCTGCCCAGCCTTCCAGCTTTGCACCTGGGACAACATGTGACCAACTTCAGCACCCCAGATGGAGAGACCTGTGCAACCCAAAACAGCCTGGGAGCCATCACCAGTGTGTTTTACACGTCACAGTTCCTTAGAGATCCCCAGCGCCTGCTGGGCATCACAGCACATGTGCATCCCCTCCCTGACACTCTGCGCCTGAGTTCCATCCCTGTGGCAGGTCCCATGGGTCACAGCCACAGCTGCCTGCACAGGGAGGAACCGGCACCCATGGAGACATGGTCTGTCCCTGTGCATTGGCAGGGATGAACCTGGGAGACAACTACAGGCACCCTCCTCCTCTCCATAGAATAGTTTTTTATATATACATAATATATATATTAAAATTACATTTCTCTTTACAAAAACAATTCAACAAGGGGCATGGGGATGGAGCCCATCACTGAAGCCAAGGTGCAGGCACCCTGACAAGTCACGGGTGCTGAGCAGGCACCCTTTCGGGGTGTCCCCATCCCCCAAGTGGCAGCTCAGTCCGGAGTCCAGCAGCAGGTTGTGTAGGTGAGGGTGGGCACCACGGGGTGGCCCCACAGTGAGATGCCTGCTCCGGATCTGACACAGCTCGCCCCATCCCCACTGTCACCGCCTGTAAGGAGAGAAGAGGACATAGGCTCAGGAAGGGTGATGATGCCACCTGGCCAAGAGCAGCATGGCATGGACACCCCCCACCCCGAAAAACCATCCGTGCCCCTACTTCTGGCGGGTGGTGCTGTAGGGATCAAGGAGGTGGGAGCTGGCCTGGGCCAGGTTCCAGTCGAACATCTCCAGCACCCGGTGGCACTCAACACGGGACTTCAGCCCCAGGCAAAAAAGCTGCTCCACCTGCAAGGGGACAGGGCATGGCAAGGGAGGTGACAGGGGTGCCAGCACTCCCACAGGAGCTGGGGCAGGTGGACAGGGGTGTATGGTACCTTCAGGTACTGGATGGCCCGTTGGACGCTCCAGCCATGGTTCTGCAGGGCCGCCTGGCACTCCTCGGTGGTCACACCGTGCACTGTGTCCTGCACCTGAGGAGAGGTTGAGGTCAGTGTCTGCTACCTGACCTGAGCAGTGAGGAGGCAGTGGCTGGAGCAGAACACCAGGGCTGCCCTCCACCCTGGCTCTGTATCTGCAGAGCGCCGTCAGCTTGGAGCTGGGGCCATTCTCATCCCTGGGATCTTCAGCCTCTCCTGGGCTTGGGTGCAGACTCCTGGCCACCACGGACCAGCCAGGAGAACCCAAAGGGACCATAGTGTCAGCCACCTTCCTCCCCGCTCCCTGCGGCCATGGATGGAGCTAATTTGGAGTAAAAGGGTCTGTGATCCCCATTTTGGAGTTGCAGTGACACTTATGTCCCACAGCACATCTGGGGACCACATGCAGCCAACCCCCGGGGGTTGAACTTGGGGAAACCAGGGTGGGGATGCCTTTTGCTCCAGTGAGTCCATGGCCCCTGTGTCCCCTATTGCTCATGGATGCCACTTACCAGCCGGATCTTGTCAGCAGGGCGGCAGCCATCCGGCCCATCGTAGATGATCTTCTGGAGACTGCAGGAGGCTTTCACCAGGCACTTGGGCCCAGGATTGCTGTTGTTGGAGGAGAAGTTGGCTTTGCAGTCTGTTGGCAGCTGCTGCACCATGGGACGAACGGTAGCTGTGGTGACCAGGCGGGATGCCTGCACCTCCTCGGGGCTTTTGGCCTCCTTGAAGAACTTCTCATACTTGTCCAGGTAGGCAGGGCGCTCGGGCAACAGGTAGTAGTGGGTGCTGCTGACCTTCTGCCCATCCTTCACGATGGGCAGGATGCAGGGTCCCTTGGAACAGTCCTTGCCCTGTGCCTGGATGACCTTGGGGGTGGCGTACTTGGGGTCCAGGGCAAAGCTCTGCGTGGTGGGCATGGGCTTCCCTGGCGACGTGGAGAGGCAAGAGCAGAGGGCGGCACGCTGCGGGGGGGACCCCACCTGCAGGGCCATGGGGCTGGGTGTCCGGGAGGTGGGCTGCGACAGGGGGTCCCGGGGTGGGATCTGGGGCGGACGGTCCTCCTCACCCCCTGATGCTGGGGAGAGCTCCCCCGACCAGCGCCCGGGCTCGTTACGGCGTACGGGCCGGGGCGGGATAGGGATACGGGGTGGGATTTGGGGCTTGTCGTCTGTGGGGGCAGCTGGTCCCAGGGGGACATTAAGCCTCTTCATGCACTCCTGCTGCAGCTCCTCAAAGAGCTCTGTGGTCTGCGTCATGCTGGGCTGCTTCATCTCCTTGGGGGGCAGGAAGAGGTTGTCCTCCAGCGTTGGTCCCCGCTCGCCCTCGTCCACAAAGCCATAGTTGGTCTTGCCCCGCCGGCTCGGAGGGCTGGTGATGGAGCAGACCTCGAAGTCGTCCTCATCCTGCGCCACGTCATCATAGGCAGGTGGTGGAGGTAAGGGGCGGGCGTCCCAGTCCACCACTGGCGTAGGGTGGAGGGGCCGGGGTAGAGCCCGCGTGGGGCTCTGTGGTGGGGTCTTGTCCAGCAAGGAGAAGGCCTCCATGGCCAGCTTGGCCAACGATGGGGCTGTCAGCTCCCCCACTGGTGAGGGGCTACCTTGGGGCACCTCCTCTCCAAAATCGATGAGGGTCACCTCGCTGCCTGCCGGCCCCTCACTGGTCAGCTGGCGGCTGGGCTGCCGCTCGCCCACCTTGGTGCCTGGAACCCGTGCCGACGGCTTGACTGGTCGCAAACCCTTGCCTGGGCCTGGCTTCTTCAGGCAGAGCTTCCGGAGACCACCTGGCAGACCCTCCTCCTCCTCACTGACTGGGTCGTAGCAGGGCTCTAGGAGGTAGACAGAGAGGGATGGTGAGGTTCCTGGCACCCATCCCAGGGGTGCCAGGAGGGGCACTTGCGTCCCTAACCCCCAAACTGCCTGACAGCTTCAGCCACCTTTCCTCTCCCACTTGGGTGTAGTGATGCACCAGGGCAGGCAGAAGGGTGCTGGAGGCCTGAGGGGTACCCTGCCCTTCCTCACCCTGCAGACCCCAACACCCAGCTCCTCATCTCCGTCCCCCCTGCAGATGCCAACGCTCATGGTGGTACCCGGGATGCAGAGACAGGAAAAGGAGCTAAGAGAAAAAAGAAGGGCACAAAGGAGGGAGAGAAGCATCCGTAAAAGCCCAACTTACTGGTGAGCAGGACGGTAGGCTGAGGCGGGCGCGGAGGTGGCTGCCCTGCAGGAGAAGAGAGAGCCCGAGAGGAGAGGCGTGGGGTGCGCGCACGAAGCAAGCAGCAGTCAGGGTGCTTGTTAGCGGGGTGCATGCTTCATCATGTCCCGCATCACCGCTGGGGTGCGGGGAGGATGCCGGTGGGAAGCCCCACCAAGGGAAAACTGCAGGATTAGGGCATTTGTGGCACCCGCACAGCGTCTGAGCTCCCTCCACGTGGCAGCTCCACCGAGATCCCCTGTACTGGGGAGCCTGGCCGCGGGAGGCTGGGAGTGGACGAGGGACCTGGACGAAGGGCAGCAGGGCAGAGTCCAGCCGGGCAGAGCCACAGGCCACCCACGCTGCTGGCGGTGGCATTTGGCCAGGTGACAACACACCCTGTCACCCCAGCTCCCCCTGGCTCTGTGAACAGCAAGTGGCAGCAGAGAGAAAGGAGAGGGTCCACAGCCCATCACCCTGGCAGCAGGGCACAAGGACTTTGCACGGCTGACAAGCAGGGTGAAGGAGAAAAGCGACTCACTTTTAGCCCTGCCAGGAAGCTGGGTGGGTCTGGCAGCACTCGGGTCCACACCTAAAATGTCAGGAGGGTCCATGGGATTTCCCAGGTACAGCCTGTGGGGAGACAGGAGAGTGCCTGGAGGTCAGCAGGGGCCTCATAGGACCCCTTGCACCCTGAGCTTGTGCCCTGTCCCTTGGTACACCCCACCTCCACCATGCCCCATGCCCCAGTGAGTACCGTCTCTGTGAGCACGGGGGCACCACACCCTAGAGGCTTTCAGTGCTGCAGCACAGAGCCTGGTGCCATCCCAGCACCACGCATATGATGCGCTGTAACCCAGGGGATTGCAAGCAGGGTGCCGTGCCCAGTGTACTTGTACGGGGCGTGGTGGCCGGGACACACCGCAGCACCAGGGTGCCCCGGCATGACGCTGCACGCAGGGCAGGGCACCCCGGTACAGCACAGCACGGCACGCTGGTGGGGTGCCGGGAGGCGCGGGCGAGCCGTCGCAAGCTGGGTGCGGCGAGGCAGGAGCCGGTGGGAGCCGGTGCAGCCCCAAGGCCTGGGTGTGTGCCCAGCTCGGTGCGTTCTCGGCAGCCCGGCAGCACGTACCCAGCGCCGTGCCCACGCAGCGGGAGCCTGCTGGGGCACGAGCAGGGCTGTGTGCACGGCGCCCCGGTCCAGCCCCCCGAGGTTCAGCCCACCGGGTGGCCTTGGGGAGTCAGGCTGGGGCAGAGGGCACCGGCAGAGATGTCCTGGGGGCGGGAAGCTGAGCAGCAGTGGTGATCACGACCCCAGGGGATGTGCTTAGCCAGGCACAGGAGCTGGCTTTACCCAGCTGTAGCTTTCCAGGCTTTGAAATCCTATCCTGCCCCCCACACACAGCCCTCCCACGTCCCCCCAGCCCAGTGCTGGCAGAGATCCCCATGCCCTCTGCCCTGAGCCAAGCACCCCTGCCCACCATCCCCCAGCAACACACTAAGCACGTCAGTCCCACATGGCAAGGAGGTACAGGCACCCGACCCCCTCCATCAGAACAACCTGGGTCTGTCCTGATGGAACAGGGGGTGGAAAAAGCACTTTGGTGGATTTCTTTCATGGTGTGCTGTTTTAACTCATGCTGTTAAAAGCAGGGGGTGAGTCTACACCCCCATCACAGCTTCCCTCCATGCAGGCACAGAAAGGCGCAGGTTTAGCACCCCTGGGACATCGCAAAAGCATTGTGGTTAACACGGCCACATCCAGGGTGGTGCTTACTGGTGTCCCTCCAGGCCGGGACAGCATGAAGGGCTGCAGGGCTAGAAGATACTCCCCCACCCCCACCCCAGGCAGCTCCCACAAAAGCACAGCAGCCCTCCCTGCCCTTGACCCCATTAGTAAGAAGAAGAGAGGGAGTTAGTCCAGCCACAGGGACCCTTCCCGGAGCCACCACCCTCAGTAAAGCAGAGGGGCGGAAGAGATGTTTCACTAGCAAGGCGAACACAGGATGGCCAAACCATGGCTCATTCCATGCCCAGCGGGCAGCAGGGAAAGCAGAGAGCAGGCAGGGGATGCAGAGAAGATAAAAGATTTTCTTACTCATCAATTTTATCAGGAAACCCCCAGCAATGCTGGGGGTTGGTGTCTCCATGGCCCGTGTGGATGAAGCTGTTTTTAAGCGGCTGGCTGATGTCGTGCGCCGACAACCCTGCCACCGAGGTCACCGTGTTTCGGGGGAACTGGCCCACTTTTAGGGTCCGCTTATTCTGACCCCGCCACCAGTAATTCTCAGCCCTAAAGAATAAAAAGGACCTCGTTACCAACAAGGGTATGAGAGGGGGACACATGCCTGCCCCGGTGACAGGGGAGGAGGCAAGGTGACTTGTCCAAGTCCAAGCAGGCAAGCAGTGGCACAGCCAGGAAGAGAGCCCAGGTGTCCAGGATCCCAACCCCGAGCTGACAGTGCCCTCTGCCTCCCACCCTGTGGGCCCCTGCACCCAGTGGTGCTGGGGATGCAGGGGGTAGGGAACAAAGCTGCCTGCTTGTGCCCACAAAGATGTGCCCCTTCCTCCTCCCAGCTGCCCCAAATTATGCAGGAGCCTTGGGGTGCTGCCTGCATGGAGCTGCTCACCCCTGGTCCTCCTGTGCCCTATGCAGCCATGGATGGCACAAGGAACACGGCTGGGGTCTGACGATGAACATTCAACTATTAATTGGGAGGTCTTCCTCGCTCTCTTATCAGTGAGCCTCATGCAGGTTGGTGAGGGCAAGGGAAGATGGGCAGGCAGACAATGCCACCTTGGGGTGCTGGTCCCCAGCGTGCTCTAGGAGCTGCCTGCTCCAGGAGAAGAAGGGGGGGTCACCTAGCCCGGGTGGGAACTGGGACAGGAGAGGGGCAGGTAGGGGGCAGGAAAGGGTACCCCAGGCACTGCACCAGATGAACGTGGGGGTACTCCGACCCTACCCGCCCCCCGCCTGCGGGTCTCCCGTTCTCCGTGGGTAGGGCGTGCTCCGGGGAGGGGGCGGTGGCGGTGCCAGCCTGGCGAGGCTGGCACGGCCCCACGGTTTCCTGGAGTCACCTGTGAGTCACCCCCGGCCACCAGCTCAGCCCTTTTCCTGTTTACCTTCCCCGCTCGCCGCCAGCCAGCCGCCAGGACCCCTCGGCGTGGCCGCAGCAGAGCCCAGCCGGTACCGGGCACCATCCCTCACCCGCACCGGGACAAGCAGGAGCCGGCTCCCCCTCCCCGGGAGGTCCCGTCCACTCGCCCTCCCCGCGTCGCGACACCGCCCCATCCCACCGGAGGGATGCTGCGGCTGGGCCGGCCCTTTCGCTCCCCTCCTCTGCCGGCCTCGTCCCACCGGATCCAGGCGCGGAACCCCGGCACGATCCCGCTGCGGCTCTTCCCTGGCTTCCCCCCGAGAGCCCTCTCCTGCGACCGCCTGGGTCCCCGGGGGGCTTTCAGGTAGGTCCCTGCCCCTGCCCACACACACGTACGCACGGCCAGCGCCCGCCGAACGACAGGCAGGGGCTTGTAAAGGGGTGGGGGGGTGTTTACGGTGCCCCGGGCGGCCTCGGCGGGGCCGGATGCGCGGCCCCCGGGAGGAGCCCCCAACCCCCTCCGCCAGCCCTCCCCTCCCAGCCCAGGCATCCGCGCCGGCAGCGCGGTGGGGAGCAGGCACCCCGGGGGGGGGGGAAACCGAGGCACGGGGATGGGGGTTCCGGTCCGGGAGCACCAGCAGCCCCCGGCTGCAGAGCTCACCCCGCCTGCTCGGACCCAGCACCCCCAAAACGTGCCCACCGCGGGCCACCGAGCACCGGCGTCCCCCAGGAAAACTGAGGCAGGGGAGGCTGCGCCCCGGTTCCACCGCGCTCACGGCCCTCCCCGACTCATTGCAGCGCAACCACGTACCCCCGTCCGTCCCGCTCCTGCCAACCTCTCGCTCCCCGCCGCCCCCCCCGCGGCTCACCTGGGGCCGACGGCGGGGCGGGGGGCGCGGGAGCTGGATCCCCAGCCCGTGATGCGCGCCGGGGACGATGTAGGCGCACTGGCGCGACCGCGCCGCCCTCCGCCGCTCCTTCCCTACCTCCCTTCTTCCCTCCCTCCGCCGACGCCGCTTCCCTTCCCCTCCCCTCCCTGCAATTAAACCGCCAGACCCTGGGCAAGAGTCATCCCTGGCGGCGGCCGCCGGAGAGAAAGCCGGTCCCTGAAGACACACAAATCCGGCCTGATTCACCTCCGGGCTGTGACTAACGGCGGGGAGCTGGTCCCGGGAAGGGGGGAAGGACAGAGCCTTTCTCCTCACCCCCTGGGGCTGGAGGCGGGAGCAGCCTCCCATGTGCCAGCGGAGCGAAGGGACATAGAGCTCTTCCTAGGGGTCTCCACTGTCCGCATGCTGGAGTGGCACAGCCACACACTAGGATGGGAATGCAGGGACCAAAAGTCCCCCCAGTCCACAGGTCACCGGGGTAGTGGAAGGGGATGGCTGTGCCCCGGTGTGGCTAGCAGCGACCAAGGAGCAGAGCCGACAGCGCAGGGGGTGACAGGTCATGCCACCGTGGTACTGAGCTCCCCAGCATCTCTCCTGGCCCCACAGCAGTGGCAGGTCCCCACTGCTATCAGTGGGGAGCTGTTCTGGGGCAGCCGGTTTCCAGGGACAAGGCTACGGCAAACCCAGAGGCAGAGTGGGTGAGTCAGCGGGTGGATGTTTTGGGCAGCGCAGGTAGAGCTGTGCTGCCCATAGGCATTGCTGCACCCCACACATTGCAGTGGCCCCACACTGCTGTGCTGCCTGGGGCACTGCACACCTCCCAGGGCAGTGGGGCAGCTCACCTGTGGACTACACAGTCAGGTGTGCTAGGGGGCAGAGCCCACTCTCCCCCATCCCTGCTCCACAGCTCTGCCAGTGCCCCCAGTCTCCTGATTCCCCCTGTGCCCATGCAAACTGGCAGCCCTGAAGCTGGCCGCTGGTCCATGCGCCTCTAGTGCAATACCTGGCACTGCTCCCGTGCAGTACGTGCCCTCACACCCTGAGCAGTACCTGCCCTCGATGACTGTGATGATGTCGTTCATCTGGATGTGCAGCTTGTCCGGCTCCTCGAAGTCCTGCAGTGCTCTCATGTCAGTGGGCTGGGCCTGGGAGAAATGAGGGTGAAAACAAGGTGATGCAGACCCCCACCATCCATCCTTGCCCTGTTTTGAGACTAGCTGCAGCCCCACGTAGAGGAAGGCAGGGGAGCCTCAAAAGTGGGGCAAGAGACAGCATCACCACTCCCAGCCCCTACTCAGCTGTAACACCCCTGGGCTGGACAAGGGCCAGGTAGTACCCAGGGACCTGCTGTGACCAAATCACTGCCCCTCACCTCCCAGCCTGCAGGGCTGCCTGGGCTGAATCCCCCAATGTCACCTCCTGCCTGAGTGGTACCCTGAACTCTGCCTACACTTAAGCAGAGCCGAGGGGAAGGGAGTGCTGGAGCCCCTGTCCGCCTGCCTGCACACCCACCTCCACCAAGAAGTCCCGCAGGGCTACAAAGGTGGGTCGATCCTCAGGCTTGTGTGCCCAGCACTGCAGCATGACATTGTAGATGTCCTGCGGACAGTCCTCAGGCCGTGGCAGCCGCTCACCCTCTTTGTCTATCTTGTGCAGGATCTGCAGAGCAGAGAGTACTGTCAGGGGTTCCCAGGTCTCCCCGAACCACTGCCACGGTGAGTCAGGGGGTCAGGTCCCTGCCGTGCGCTCACCTGGCTGCCATTGAGGCCAATCCAAGGCTCCTGCCCATAGGTGAACATTTCCCAGAGAGTCACCCCAAACATCCAGGTGTCACTGGCATGGGAGAAGGTGCGTGTCTTCAGGCTCTCAGGAGCACACCTGCGTGGGGAAGGATGTGAGCATCAGAAGGCAATGGGTGCTGTATCCCCAGGTCCCTCCTCCCCAGGGCTCACCAGGCGAAGGGGACCTTGCGATGCTCCTGCATCACGTAGTGGTCATCATTTTTGGGCAGGGCCCGCATCAGCCCAAAGTCCCCGATCTTGACCAGCTCATTGGAGGCCAGCAGGATGTTGCGGGCAGCCAGGTCACGGTGGATGAAACGCTTGGACTCCAGGTAGGCCATGCCCTTGGCCACCTGGATGGCATACTGGCAGAGGGTGGAGATGAGGAAATGACCCTGATTCTTCCGCAGGCGGTCCAGGAGGGAGCCCAGTGGGGCCAGCTCTGTCACCTGGGCCATGGGGTAGGAAAAGCAGGTTGGTCAGGCCAGAGGCACCCTTGCTGGGCTGGTTTCCAGCCTTGTGCCCCACTGGAGATGCCCATGGAGCACTGGGATATGGATCCAGCCTAGCTTTGCTCACCCCACCACACAGAACTCTCACAGGGCACCAATGGGTCAGCCCCATCCTCCCACACTCACCATCTTCATGGGGTGGGAGAGCACCACGCCATAGAGACGGATAAGGTTCCTGTGGTCCAGAGAGTGCATGGCATTCACCTCCCGGATGAAGTCATCCAGTGCCTCCGGCTGGCTCAGCACATCCGTCTTGAGACACTTCACTGCCACATCCAGCTATGGCCAAAGCAGGGATGAGCCCCAAAGCATCTTCCCCCCCAGGTGGTGCTGCTGCCCGGCTCACCCCACCATGAACAGCCCCTCACCGTCTTGCCGGCAGGCGTGCACCACTCGCCACGACGTACAACGCCAAAGGAGCCGTCGCCCAACTTCTCAAAGATGGAGAGGTCCCGCTCCCGTACGAGGCAGGTAAGGGAGTGATGGCCCCCGGCTTCAGGGGGCGGTGGTGTGGGGGGTTTGCGGAAAGTGCTCTGGGGCTGGGGCGGCAGCTCTGACTCAGGGCGCTTCCCGCTGAACACCTGCAGGACATGGAGGTAGGCAAGATGCAGGTGCGGAGATGCCCCAAGCCATTGTGTTTGTGAGTGCCAGGATGACACCTGGCCTGGCCTGTACACTCTGTAACCTAATGATGACCCCTAACTCATGATTACCCAGGGCAGGCTGGCTGCAGCAGCAGGCTCTGTTCTTCTAGCTGAGCTGCGATTCATGTGGATTTGTAGAATCATAGAATGGTTTGAGCTGGAAAAGACCTTAAGATCATTTAGTTCCACCCCCCCTGCCATGGGCAGGGTCACCACACACTAAGCCAAGAGTCTGTCCAACCTGGCCTTCTTTGGACAACCTGTTCCAGTGCCTCACCAACCTCACAATAAAGAGCTTCTTAAGTCTAACCTGAAATTTCCCTGTTTATGTTTAAACCCCTTGCCCCTTGTCCTGCCACTACAGTCCCTGAGGAAGAGTCACTCTCTGGTATCCTTGCAGAACTCCTTCAGACACTGGAAGACTGCTATGAGGTCTCCACGCAGCCTTTTCTCCAGGCTGAACAGCCTCAGCTTTCCCACTCTCGCAGCAGCCCAGCAGCAGCACTCCAGCAGCCTCGGCAAACCAGGCTGGCCGTTGGAGGGCCCTGGGCATTCCTTGGCCAGGCTGTGACTACACAATGTGCCTGGGCATAAGGCCAAGAGAAACCTCCAGCTTGGGCAGAGTGTGGTGACACATCCCTCCAGCAACGGAGGCCTTGCAACAGGCACTGCTGCCACCGCCAGCCCAGAGGGAACATGGACAGGCTCTCCCTCCACCTCCCCCAGCTGGGACTGATGATGTGCCAGGACCAGTGATGTGCTCCATGGGATGGGGTCCATCCCATCCTCAGAAGTGAGGACCTGCGTGGGGTGCACAGGGGTTGGGCCCAGCATGTGGCTGGGGTGGGAGGTGGCATTTCTGTGCCCAGTGTGAGGCTGAGCAGCCTTCTATTAAAAGCCCATCCTGTCTCCATCCCATCCCAGATGAGTCACACAGGGAAGAGGCCACAACCCAGAGCCCAGCTGGCAATTATCCTGCTCTTTTGGGGGTGCAAAGTGCCAGGGTGGCAGCATCACCAGCCTTGGGCAAGATGGCATTGGGGGCATACATGAGCATCGTGGGGTCCCCTGCCCTGGTGCAGCCCCAGCCTGGTGAGCAGGGCTCCAGTGGGCATTGGCGCCCATAAGAGCTGCCTGGGGTGAGATGCAGAGGTTCTGTGGCTCATTAGCTGCAAATTAGTTTCCTGGCAAAGAGGCAAATAATGCAAGAGGAATGAACTTCCCAAGTACTGGGGCGGCAGGGACATCCATCACCAGGAAGTAACCCAGGAGCCTGCACAGGACGGGAGCACACTGCAGGCAGCACACTGCAGGGAGCACACTGCAGGCAGCACACTGCAGGGAGCACACTGCAGGCAGCACACTGCAGGCAGCACATGCCTCACAGGGGTTTCTGCCCCCTTCCCTGCCAGCCTCCCTGCCAGGCACTGGTGACGTGGGGAAGAGCCAGGCACTGTGGAAGAACATGTGGAGAAGTCCAGCTCCTCCTGCATGCCTGTTTCCCTGCCACACCTGCCCTCTCCCATCCCTACCTTGCTCATCCAGGATTTCCGCTTGCACATGGCTTTCCGCCGCTTCACTGCCTCCCACAGCCGCCGCTGGCCTGCACGACACAGTGGCTGTCACCAACCCAGCATGGGGTGGGGGTCCCTCCAGCCCCATAGACTGCATGCTCCTCTGGGATCCCCAGAAGATGCTGTGCAGCCAGCCAGAGATATGGGGGGAGGTTTTGGGGGGGGGGGGGGGTGTACGCACCAGGGCGCCCCATGCCAATCTTCTCCAGATCCTCATTTTTGACGTACTCGAAGTGGGAGAGGCGGGTGACGTTGAGCTCATCCCGGATGCGCAGGAAGTACTGCTGCAGCTGCAGCTCAGTGAGCAGCTCCAGCAGCCAGTCCGTGCCCTCCTCCGCCTGCATGCTACAGCTCAGCCTCTGCAGGGACACCGACCGTGTGAGGTTAGGGGGAGAACCCTGTTCCACTCCCCTCTGCCCCCTCCTCACACTGGGGACATCATCCAGAGAGCCTGAGAGCCAAGGCTGGGGTGCTGCCTGGGCAGGGCATGAGGGATGCTAGCAGGACTCATCTCCTAAGCCTGCCCCCAGCTCTCCAGGGAAGCTGGGAAAGGCACCCCATCAGCAGGATGGGACGTTCGTACTGCCCCATGGTGCCCACAGAAACACCAGCCCACATTTCTACTCCAGCACAAACTGTCCCCACGCAGCAGTGTCAGGGACACAGGAGAGAGCAGAGCCTCCTGGATGGGTGTGCCTGGCAGCGGCCCCCAGCTGAGGGCCACCCCGTGCCTGCCAGGCTCCCTTTGGCCAGCTGGAGGGGCTGACTGGGGAGGGGACAGCCACATCGGCCCTGCCACTCAGCCCCCTACCATCCCCACACACCCGGCTGGGCTGTGGCACAGACCCACAGCGGGTCTTCTCTGCCACGGGTGGTGGCACCTCACCTGGCAGCCACAGGGACAGGACACACAGGGACATCACAGCCTTCAGGTGGTCCTGGCGCCTGGGCTGAGGCAGAAGGCAACCCAGCGCTGCTGGTGTCAGCTCCACAGCCAGGCCAGGGCATGAGGCCAGGTCTCACCCACGGTTCCCCACATCTCCCACAACATGTTCCCCTCCGCTCCCTATCCCTGCCTCCTCCTCTTTCATTGCCACCTTTCTGGGAAGAGGCATGTCTCTGCCCCTCGCTGCTGTGAGCTGGGCGCGAAGTGGGACCCTCATCCCGGTCCCACAGCAGCACAGCCCGCTCCATCCTCTCCTCTCCCCCCGGGTCCCCGCTGTCTTCATCCCCTGCGCTCGACTCCCTCGGTGCGTCACCACAATTACAGCCCTCGGCACTGGGCTAAAAATACGGCGGGTGCGGCAAGCAGCTGGGCACGGGGGCACACGGGGGCACACGGCGCGAAAGCAGCCGCTGGCCTTTGGTGTGCGCCCGCGGGTGGCCGGGGACGGCTGGTCCCCTGCCCACAGGCGATATGGACAGGGCTGAGTGACAGCCAGCACAGGGTCTGCCGGGGCGAGGGTCGGCACTTACTCGGTAGAGGCGGAAGCGGGTGAGGAAGGGGAAGGATCGGCGCAAAGCTTGGAAGCGTCGCATCCTGCCTGGCTGCCCGTCGCCGGCTCCTGGCACCGCCGATGTCCCTTCCCGGGCGCCGGCGTCCCGCGGCAGAGCCCGCTCAGCGCAGCAGGGGCACCCGCAGCCCTGCCATCCGGGCTGCAGAGATGCCCCTCGAGCAGGCAGGGGTTCTCGGGGCGTCCGTCAGCCGGACGCGGGCTGTGGCTCTCCCCCTTCTTCCGTCCGGCTCTCGATCCTCCTGGCCGGCCCTCCCCTTCCCCAACGCAACAGGGCCGGGGCGGAGGGTGGCGGCAGACAGGACTGGAGTCACCCCCTGGCTGAAGCCGCTTCTGAGGACCCCTGTCCGGCCGCGGGGCTCGGTCCCGGCCGGCTGCCCAAGGAGCGCTCCGGGGAGGGGTTATTTTCAGCCGGGGCTGGGACGCGCGCCCAGGGGGCCGGGCTCCCATCAATGTCCCGCTTTCTCCCTTGTTCAGCAGCGGGCACCCGCTCCGGCAGCTGGGAGCCTGGACCCCCACTCCCATTTCCATGGAAACCCGTCCCGGCTTTGGGAAACTCTCCCAGGCCTCAGTTTCCCCCCTCAGGAAGCAGGGAAGGAGGGAGGGAGAGGAGACATCCGGCTCTCCGCTCCCCAGCCGAGGCCACAGGCAGGATGCCAGGGCGATGGGCACTGCGGGGGGGAGCTTCTGGCTCGGCAAACGCACCCGCTGCTCAGCTGCTAGTCCCCGCGGGCTCTGCTGTGGGGTGCCGCCAGCACCCTGGGGCTCACTCCCCTTCCCTGGCAGAGCTGGCACCCGACACCAGCACTGATGTCCGGCGCGGGCTCCCCGGGGAGAACATCTGGCCGCATCCGCAGCCACGGCGTGAGAGAGGACAGACCCACAGCAACCTCTTGCAGCAGCCCCCGCCTGTCTGCCCCCCCGCCACTGTGGCCATGGTTGCGACGGGGGGAGCAGCTGGGAGAGGGTTAAGCGCATCCCCAGGTGCAGAGGAGCCTCCGCTGCGGCTTCCACGGCCGCCGGGATCCCAGCTGGCACAGGCACCCTACACAAGAAACCCATTGACCAGGGACACCCGGGCACGGTGCACTCGGCACCAACCTCTCTGCCATGCGCCAGCTGCCCCCTCCCTGGCTCTGGGGACACCGTGATGCGAGGGGTTCCCTGCTCTGAATGGGGCATCACCTCCACCAGCCGGGGATGGCACCCACTGGGATCGGCACCCACTGAGACTGGCACTCCCTGGGGCCAGTGTGCTTGCCTCCTGCACCCCCAAACCTCAGGTGAGGCTGCCCATTTCAGAGCGCACACTGGGGGAGTACTGGTCTCCAGAAGGGAGTGGGGGGAGGAGGGACACCCAGCCTTGCCCACTGTGCTGGGGAGGCTCCGTGCCTCAGTTTCCCCATCCACCACAGACTCATGGGCACAGAGGCTGATGCCACAGCCTTAATGCTGAGACAGGCAAGTAGAGTCCAGCCAGCAAACCCCTGTCCTAGGGGGGTTCATAGATGCCCTTCTCACTCCCATGACCCGGCAGGCGGCAAAGCCCCCCAGCAGAGGTGCTACCTGGCCCTCCATGCCCTGCACACTCACCGTGTTGTGCACACCCACCTCTGCAGCCCCCAGGGTGCACCCTGCATGCACCCAGGCACATGGATGGGTGGTGATGACCGTCACGCACACCCCGGGACCACACAGGCACGACCCCCAGCACCTGCACAACCGCAGCCGCCCCCCTAAGCGCGTCACCCCCGCACACCCCCCAGCCATGGCCCTGCCCGGCCGCACGTGCGCCAACACCCCGGCGCCTCACAGCCGGCGGCAGCACACCCGCCTCTGCCTGACGCACACCTGGAACCGCCTGCACCCTTGCGCACCCATGGGTGCCTGCCCCCTGTGTGGCAAGCTCCTTACCTCTGCGCTTGCCCGGCATCACGCTGAGCAGCACATGGGTGGCCAAAGCACCCCGAAATACTCCTACCCACCATGACACCCCAACACCTGCCCTACACCCCAAGGCAGCTTCACCTACGTGTGCTCCCTAACTGCCCCCCCCCCCATACACACAGCCCGACAGCCCCCTCCATGAGGATGGCAACCTGTGATGGGCACTGTGCCCCCTTATTTCCTCCTACTGCGCCATCAATCCCCCATGCCTCAGTTTCCCCAGCAAGAAGCAGCAGGCAGCCCTGCTCCCGTGTGTCAGGATGGGAGCACAGCCAGGAAGGGGGATGCCATGCCCACACCACCCCAGATGCTGCGGGGTACCCCGACTCCCGGAGAGGGGAGATGCCATGCAGGGAACCCCCGTGCCTCATGCCAGCTGCCCCACAGCAGGACCCTGCCCTCACGGGGGACACCCAGCCTGCCCGGGTGCCCCCCGCCGCTCCCCCCACACTGACCCGCCGGCACGGCATGCCCGGGGCGATGTCCTGCCGCGAGGACCGTGCGGGGCGCCTGCTGCCTGGCCGCAGGGCCTGCTGCCCAGTGCTGTCCGAGAGGCTGTGGGGCAGGGAGCCGAGCATCTCCTCCTCCTCCTCGGCGCTGCTCAGGCGCTGGTAGTCGCATCTCTCGCCCATGGCTGGGGCGGCTGCGGCAGTTGCGGCGCGGCGGCGAGCGGGGGGCTCTGCGGAGACACCCGCGCCTGGCTGGGGGTGGCGAGGGCTGGAGCCGGGCTCGGGATCACATGGCAGAAAGTTGCTGCAGTTCCGGAAAACAGCGAGAGGGTGAAGGTGACCGCGACGGTGATGGAGGGGAAGGGGGGGGGGGTGGATGGAGGGATGCAGAGATGGGGGAAAAGAGAAGCGGGGACAGCCCATCAAGCTCCCGTCCTCACCCCGATCCCAGCTTGGCAACGCGATCTTCCTCCCGTCTCGGCAGCCTCACTGCCCGCCTGCTGTCCCCACTCCAGCATCCGAGGGGAAAGGTGGTGGCATCGATGCCAGCCCCAGTGCCGCGCTCGCAGCCACCTTCTCCCCCCACCCGGACAGGGTGCAGCACGCCAGCGGGGATGCGGTGCAGGCAGGCGGGGGGAGGAGGATGAGGTTGAGCGGGGAGCATCGTTCAGCAGCCGGGGATCCGCGGCAAGCTGGGTGGGTGAGAAGGCACCCCGCTGGGAACCTGCAGAGGGGCTGGGGGGGCTCTGGGGCTGGCAGCATCCCCGGCATCCCTCCCACTTCCCTGCGCCGGCAGAGGGGGATGGGATGTGCTGGGAAGATGGCTGCTCCACAGCGACCGGCAGCACTGGCGCAAGCACGGCAGTGCCAGGAGAGCAGCCAGGCCCCGCGGGCGCTGCGGGGATGGGCTCCGGGGGGCATGCGGGGAGGATGGCTCCCAGGATCAGTCCTCTCTCCCCACCCCATCGCAGGGCGCTGGGGGTCTCCCAGACCCGTTGCCAGGCGCTGCACCAGGCACAGCCCCCAGCAGGGGCAGGTGGCAATGGGTGGCCACCCCCCCGGGATGGGGTACCCCCAACCTGCACACTGAGGCCGGCTCGCAGCCCGACACTGCCTGGCCACAGCCACTCTCTGAGGCCCCTTGGGCCAGAGCTGAAGCAGAGGGAGGCCCCTGCAGCCCCTACCCAGTCCCCCAGGACCCACCTGTCCTCTGGGGCATGGCACAGACCTAGGGACAAATCTGCTCCTTATGTCAGCGCCACTGGGGCACGATGCCCACCCCGCGACCCCCCACATCCCCCAAGACCCCGGTGTTGCCAGAGGAGTGGGAGCACGCATCCATCCTGCCCTCCCCAGGGGAAACCCCCCCAGTGCCGGGGGGCACCTGCCCCGGGCGGGGGCCGCCCCGTGGCGGCTCCTCCTGCCCCGCCATACCAGGGAGGTGAGCTCAGCTGTGCAGCCGAGGCGGGCCGGGCCCGCGGCGTGGGAGCAGCGAGCCACCCCCGTGCACGGCCGCCGGCGTCACTGGGCTGGCACGCCACAGCTGTGACTGACGCGCGTGCCGTGACACCTTCCCTCCGGCCCCAGCTGCCCCCAAACCCTCACCAGCCTGTCCAGCCACAGCAATGCTGCGGGGCACCAAGCCACAGGGGGACAACCCCCGTCCTCACAGCCTCCACAGCGCATGTGGTTCACCCCTCCATGCCTTGGGTCCTCTGGGCTTGCCCAGGCTCAGCTGAAACCCAAATGAGAGATCCCCTGTAGGAGGATGGATGGCATCACGCCATGCCACCCCTGACCCACCTGCCTGCAATTCCCACCCCGGAGGGGCCCCAACACAAGGACAACTTCCAAATGGGGTGTGCTGTTCCTGCCCCACAAGGCACTGACCCCAGGAGGTCCCTCCCCTTGCTGACACTGGACCTCCCCAGCACTCTGGAACACCACGTTTGGCCCCACATCCCTTCCTGCAACCCTGGGTACTGCGGCCGCAGCATCTCTGCACCCACCACCCCTCACAGGGGACCCTGGAAAGCAGCGGGTCCCCATGCAAGCTCCCAGAGGCAGACAGGCCTCCCCCACTCACCTCCGGCACATCACCCCGCTTGCTGCCACCGCAGCCTGCCACCTTCCTGGCAGCTCTGTCACCTTCCTGGCAGCTCTGTCACCTGGAAGTGATCTCACCGGCTGTGGCGGCAGCAAGGCGGCTACGGCGGCACCCGGGGCTGGCTTAGCCCTGGCGGGGCCCCGGGGGCGGCCCCAAATTGTGGTGACACACTCCCCGGCCGGCGGCCTGGCGCAGGCGTGCGGGCACGCACATACCCACGCGTACAAATGCACCCTGCTCCCACCGAAACCAGGGCTGCCGGGCACATCCTGCCCGCCCCAGGGTGCTGCTGCCGCTCAGCTCCCCAGGGTCTGTCCCCACCCCACGTCCCCCCTGTGGGACCCCGTACCGGTGGGTGCTTTGGCTCCCTCGGTGCTGGTACCCGATGCTGCTTGCTCGGCTGGCTCTGGCAAGCAGGAGTTCCTGGGGGGCCGGCACGGAGGGCTGGTGACCCCTGTGGTGGCGGTGGCCGTGGAGGCCGGGGTGCCCGGTTCCCCCTCGCTGCCATCTCTGGAATCCCAGAGTTCGGCCCCATAGCCTGATCCTAATCACCGGCACAGTGCATCCCCCACTCTTGAGCCCCTGCCTGCAGCAGTGGCTGCCTGGGGAGGAGAGACGCAGCTGGGTGGGGAGCCCTCCCACCCCAACAGAGCCCAGTGCAATTCCAATCCCCTCCATAAGCCTCTTTCCTCTGCTAAATCTCCTCTGCAGGTCGAGCCAGGGCGGGCTGAGCCAGTCTTGCACCTCCCATCTCCTCACTGCAGGCAGGAATCACTGACCCGGTAGCTGATGCCCACCCCAGCCCGCAGCCCCTCCAACCACGACAGAAACACAGCACGGTGTTTTGGGGGAGAAGCAGGCAAAGCAACACCCCCCCGGCACACACAGCACACTGCCCACAGTCAGCTCCATGCCCACAGGCAATGCAGGGAGGGGGAGAGGGCAGCAGGCTTGGAGTCACTTGAGCCTTGGCACAACTGTCCCCGAAGGACACTGCCATGGTGGAGATGCTGCCACCCTGCCCTGTGCAAGGTCAGTTTGTGCCCGCTGCACTCACCTGGGCCGCTGTGGTGGCACTGTGGGGGTCCCTCGGCAGCACCAGCCCCAGTGACACAGTGAGCCAGGCAGTGTGCAGAGGGACACGGTGTCAGGGCTCAGCCGTGCTGCTGGCAGGGCTGTGGTGACACTGGCCGTAGGGTCCCCCTGGGGCAAAGCAGGAGTGAGATGTCAGAATGGGCCCCCCCAGCCTGGCACCCCGATATTACCCAACCCAGACCCTCCAGGCTCCCTGGAGTGTAACAGGTGGGAGCATCTCCCTGAATCCAGAGTCACTCCCTGCCCAGGCAGCTGAAAGAGCATCTGTGGAGCTGCTCCCCCTTTGCCCCAGGGGCACGGGTCATCTTTGCCCCTGGTCCTGCCGTGGAAAGGGGGGGACCAGCACAGGCCCTGAGCCCAGGGTCCAACCTCTGCCCCAGGGGTGCTGCCAGCATTACCCCCCTCTCCATGCCACTGCATGACCTGCCCTTGGGGCAGGCTGTAGCTGGCATAAAATGAATTTGGCAGGTCTTAGGCCAGATGGGCATAAAGCCACATCCACCACACAGCATCTCCCCTACATGATGGGTGCTGGGAGCAGGGGAGGTATGAGCCCCAGAGCTGGGGGGACAAAAGCTAAACCCCATCACTTTCCCAGCACCAGAGCAGAGCAGTGCCCTGGTGAGACCATTCAGCATCTGCTGGTCATTAGCACTTATTGATGTCAGCCTAATTAGCCAGGCTACAGTGTGAGCAATGCCCCCCCTTGGGGCTGCTCAGCAGAGAGCTGGAGCAAGACTTTCTCCTTAAAGCTTTCCTGTTCTGGCAAGGAGAAGAGCTCCCTCCTGCCCCTCAAAACCCACGAGTGGGCCATGTCCCCCACGATTCTTTGCCCCAGCCAGCTACCATCCCTCGTGGGCATGACTGGAGTGAAAACCCCAGTGCTTCAGTGGCAGGATGGGGCCTCTCGGGGGGAAACTGAGGCACGGATCGAGGCCTGGTCTGCAAGGTGGGAGAAGACTGCTACAAGCCTGCACCAGTTCCTGGTCCTGTGGTGGCTGCTCCTCTGCCCGTGAAGGACCCCCATGCCCCGGGGTATGCTGAGTCAAGCCCAGGACAGCAGGGTGGCAGTAGCTGGAGGAGGAAGAGCAGGAGAAGGGAGGCATCCCCAGCCCCCCAGCCATACCTACATGGCCCACGCCCTGCACTAACGAATTCCAGGCTAACGAGGCCCGGGTAGCTCCAGGGGCTGGTAACAGGTTGCACAGCCTGCACAGCCCCCACCTGGGTCTCAGTGCGGCGGGACCGAGAGTGCAGAGCCTACTTTGGCCCCGCTCCCTGCAGGGAGCATCAGGCTGCAGCACCCGGGGTCCATCCTGGACCCTCTCCCTAAAGAAGGGCCTGTCAGAGAGCAGACCAGCTCAGAGACAGCCCCCAGGCAGGTCCTGGTTTTAGCAAAGCCCAGCACTGACAAACTTTGTTCAAGGGCTCTGCCCTGAGTCGGGTCAGCAAAGGGCTGAGAAATGGGGGGGATGCATGACACCCAGAGTATGCAGCAACTGATGAGGGGGACCCACTGTATGGGGCAGTGAGCTGACACCAGCACCCAACGACACTGGAGCACCCCACAATGATGCACCAAGGCGGCTCCAGGGAGGTGAGCGCGTGGGGAAGCACCAGCGCCGGGCTCTGCCCCAGCCTGCCCTGCCCAGACAGCTGAGCCCTGCACAGCCTCTGGCCCATGACAGCAGCACTGCGGCAGAGACACTGTCCCTGCCTTGGCTCCTCCGGTGACCTGCAAACCCCATCCCGGGATACTTGCAGAGCAGGGAAGGGGTCCGGCAGTGCCGGGAGAGCACAGCGGGGCTCTCCTGGCGAGGTGGGACCCTCACTGGGTTGTCGGCACCACCTTACCCGGTTTAACTTAAAGGCTTTATTAAAAAATGCGAAACCAACAAAGAACAAAAGTACCCAAAGGGTCCCGAGTGTGTAGAGAAAAACCTGCTAGTGTGGCTGGACACAGACACGGTGTAGCCCACCAAGCCAGTGGGTAGAGGCTCCCTGCACCTCATCGCTGCTTCGGGTTCCAGCAGCCACACAACACCCCAGTGCGCAGGGCCGGCTCGGGAGGACAAGGATCCTCTGTTCAGCGCTGGAGCTCCCACGAGCCCGGGGTAGAGCAAAGCCGCCTTTTCTCCAGGAAAAAAAAAAAACCTTCCCCCAGCTTCCGCTGCGGTTTGGGAGGGTTCAAGGGCACCGAGCACCCACTCACTCCAGACCCCACTGCCTGCTCTGTCCTGGCAGGCAGGAGCAGGGGGGGCGGGCATACTGCCGCCTGGGCACGACAGCAGCACCGGCAGCACCACGGGGCACTGTGCCAGCAGTGCCCGGTGAGGCACAGCACGGCCGGGCAGTGCCGCAGTGCTACACACCGACACCTCCCACCCCCTGCAAGGGATCGCGCCTCGCTCTTACCTCTGTGCTCACCGCCACTGCCACCGCATCCTGCGCCGGGTCCACAGCGTCACCGCAGGCAGAGGACCGGCACGGCCGCTCTCCGGGCAGCCCACATGTCAGGCAGGATGCGCCCGCCCGCCGGTCGGGCCGTGGTACGCAGATCGACGCCGGCAGCAGCCCGGTCTCCGGGGGTATCCCCCGCGTGGCGGCCAGCAGCGGGTGCCGGGTCCGGCCTCACAGCCGGGCGGCCCGCCTGCGGCTCGGGCGGTGTGCGGGGTTCCGTGTGGCGGGGGTACCGCCGGGGTGCTCCTGCTCCCCCGAGTAGAACTCGCCCTCCTCCTGCACCCCGCCCCTGGCCTCCCCTTCCTCCTGCCGGCCCCGCCGCACCCACCAGCGGGCCCGGCCTGGGGGGCTCGCCTCCCGCCGCCCCCCGCCCCGCTCCTGTTGCGCCCGCCGGCTCAGGCCCTGCTCCTGCCCGGCTTTGGGGCCGTGCTCTTGCACGCCCCGCACCGCGCACCGCGCTCTCCGCGGCGGCTGCGCCCCGGGGCTGCCCCCGTCTTCCCCCGCCGCCGCTTCCTCCGCGCCCCGCGCCCGCCGCCGCGCCCGGGCCGTCCCCCGCTCCCGGGGCCGCCGCGGCTCCGCGCCCGGCTTGGGGCCGCCGCCGGCTGCGGTGACCAGCGCGGGCCGCTCGCCCCACTCCTGCAAGCCCGTCCGCTCCCCCAGCGGCACCCAGTGCCACCGGCCCTGGCCCCCGCCGCGCCCCGGCCCCCCGCCGCCCGCGGCCACCAGCTCCTGGCCGCGGGGCAGCTCCCCCAGCCCCGCCTCCTGCACGCCCTGGGTGAAGCCCCCCTCCTCCTGCACCCCTGGGGCCACTCCGCCGCCCTCCGGTACCCCTGGGCTCAACCCCCCGCCCTCCGGCACCCCGCTCGCGCCTTGACCCCGGATGGTGCACGCGGCCGCAGCCCCGGCACCGCTCACCGGGGGGGCCCCCCCCGGGGCCGCCCCCTGCCGCGACCCCCCCGCGCCGCGCTGCCGGAGCCCCGGCGCCGCCGCCGCTCCCCCCTACCCAGCAGCCGCCGCCGCCACCGCCCCCTCCTGCCGCCGCCGGCGAGAGCTGCCGGGGCGGTGCGCGCCCGGCCGGCCCCGCGCTTAAAGGCGCCGCGTCGCCGCTTTACGTAACGGCGGGGAGGGGATGGCGACGGGGTGGGGAGGGACGGGCAGGCGGACGGGGAAAGAGCGGGGCGCGGGGGGGCAGACTCACCAGCAACAGCACCAAACCGGGGGCCGCTCCGGTACAGGGGCTGGAGGTGTGAGATGGGGCGCAGGGCACGGGCAGCCCCGCGCTGCCACGGAGCAGTCCTGATTCCTGCTCCCAGGCGGCTGCAGCCCTGTCCCCCGCTGCCCCGGAGGAGCTGGCCCCGCCCGGCGGCTGCAGAGGCCCCGCCACTGCAGGGAGAGAGCCCTGCCAGGTTTGGGCAAGGAGCTGCGGGAGACAGCGTGTTCCCAAGAAGTAAATCATCCCTGCTGGAAGAGGAGGGACAGCCCTTAAGGAACAAGCAGCCTCCCCCTCCAAAACGGTGCATTTTCACGGGATGCAGCGTTTCTTAAGGAGGAGAGACTAGCACTAGGGAAGGAAAGCTGAGCATATTTAAAATGCAAAGCCCCGAACCAGCACAGTCTCCCACGAGAAGGCCCTTGGCCTGGAGAAGCAGCTCCAGCCCTGCCAGAGCTCTCCAGGGCTCCATGAGCAACCAAATGCCAGCGGGAAGTCTGACACTGCATACTTCCACCATCTACCCCAGTGCCGCAGGTGCTTTAGGATCAATGCAGTGACCAAGAGGCTGCTCTTCCACCTGAGTGCCAGAATCCTCGTGCCAGCTGCCGGCCCAAGGCAGGACGCACTGCCACGGAGCATACTGAGGTTTGAACTTGCTATTGCACATCACTGCAGGCCGATGCAGGAGACCTGCCTCCCTCCAGCTGCCCCCATCTCACACACTACCAGACCAGCATCGCGGCTGGTCAAGAACCCACGAGAGGAGTTGAGTGTTGAAGCTTTAAAACTTTATTCTAGCAGACAGCAGGTAACCCAGAAACAGTTTAACACCCCACACCACTCCGATGCCAGCGCTGCGCCAGGCATCCCAACATCCCAGCAGTCACGGTTGTGCTGCCCAGCCAGGAGACAGGCTTTGTCTTTCTCTGCCAGCTACAAAGCGCATGATTAACTCTGACATCAAGATGCATGCAAACACTACAGTGAGGACTCCCAGACAGCAGCTCCTAAATGCCATCCGGAGAAGTGTCACTAGGAAACAGTAACACAGGCGGGGCTGGTCACATGCCTCAGGGACAGCAGGATAGTTCAGAGCAGCATGGAGTCACACAAGCCTGGGCATCGGGCTTTGAGAGAGGTGAAAAAACTTGCCTTCAACACTGGTGATCTCAGGGACCATGCTGGGGGCTCATCTTTGCCTGTTCCTTGCAGAGGCCAGGCCTCTGTTCCAGCTGAACACTGTTCTTTCCCTCAAGGACTACTGCTGGGGCTCAGGTCACTCACTTGGTTTAGGTTTAAATGCCAGAACTGTTTGCGGAGCACAGCGCTGGCAGCAACGAGCCAGTTGCTTTCTGGGAACAGGCAGCAGAGTTCAGCAGGTGTCACACGGCAGCACTGTTCAGCTTCAGAGCAGGCAGCAGAGGGGCACCATGAGAGAGGTGCCACTCCACACACACCCAGGAGACAAGACTGCAGTTTCCAGCAGGACTTGGGGAGCAAGCAACTTCCCCTGCACACACAGCAGCATCCCCCAGCCTTCAGGTACCAAGCATGCCTATCTAGAGCAGTGACCAGAGCCCTCCAGACAGCATTAGCCCCAGGCCCTACATTCACCTTTAACTCCCCAAGTCCTTGTAATAGAGCTGAAGAAAGTTTACTAAATCACAGAGCACACAGTCTAACTAGCCTAGTTTCCACAAAACATTCAAGCACCAGCCCCATGAATGGAGGCAGGAAGCCACTTCAAGACAGCACACCTATTTGAAACAGTTCAGCCTACAGAGAAGGTAGAATATAGGGAAGCATATAACAGACCGAAGTTTGTATTTGCATCACCACAGGAGAGTGAAAAAATAAGACTGCAGGAAACTGATCCATGTTAGATACTAACCATCAAGCTTCGCAGATGACATTGCATGATAAGCATAGAACAATTATGGGAAACACTGTCCCCGATAATTACGTACACCCATAGTGCAACATATGGAGGTCACTGCCTCCGATATAACACTGTGGTAGGCAAAAACTACCTTGTTCTTTACACATTATGGAAGACACTGCCCCCGATAATGTCAGTTAGGTTTCATGATACATAAGGTACTGGAAGTTTGCAGGAAGCTGCCATTTAAATATTGGGCCAATACCTAATCTGAAGTACAAGTAGTTTGTGTGTTGCCACAGGTGGAGCAAGGGCTACACAGCAAGCTCCACCACTGCGGCCAAGGGGAAAGCTTGTGCTCCCTGTGAGAGCACACTGCATCCAGAAAGGGGTGCAAAGAGGGGTCTGAAACCCACAGAGAGGAACAGACACCACAGGGCAGCCACATTTCTAGTATTTCCGATTTTCAGCATTTCAAGGATCACTTTAGAGCACAACCTGGAGACTTGCTACCAGGTTTGCACATTTAGGTTTCTTCCAGAGCGGTGTTTTTGCCACAGAAAGCTTAATTGCTAGTTTTCCAAAACTTTTTGGTTTTTGAGGGACCTGTTTAAGGTTATTTTAAATGCAAAGTTCCAGTATCATGTTTGATTGTAATAGCAGATGCTGCTTTATTCAAAAACGACAGTATAACTGTCATAATTATGGAAGGCACTGCTTCCGATAATTATCTTCTATAAAAAAACCACACCATTTATAGTGAACGCTGTCACTGATAAATAAATAAACAAATAAATATCTCAGTGCCAAACAAGAGCCATCCTGCAAAATGGCATCAGTCAGACAGGGTTTGGCCAGCAAGAGACTCGATTTCACAAAAGGCTCCATAGCAGCAAGGTCTGAAGTGCCAGTCTAGAGCCATTCCTTAATGTCACAGGAGTCGCTGAGGTGCCAGCTAAGGATCTAAAAGGGACATTAGATAATCTTTGGGTCATTTTTCCTGGGTATCAAGACCTGCCTTGGCAAAAACAAGTCTGTAAGATGTTGGGACTCTCCCGTTGAGTAAAGGCAGGCTGGGCACTTCAGAGCTTGCTGATAATCCAGCACTTGCGGGCTATTACTAGGTTGGTTTATTTTTGAGCTACAGGTTGATCTCTGCAGCTCCCTGCCAGAAACGGGATCCTCATTACAAGAGTTAAGAGGAATCCATTCCCCATTTTATCACTAGGTTTAGGAGGCCAACAATTAAAACCCTAAATAGATGAGGTACCTCCCCACTCAAGGTACCGGTTTCAGGAGTCACCTGAGCTGTTGGTTCTCAAGTACACTGGAAAGCAAAGCCCCGCAAGCAGCTGTACATGACTCATTTGTCAGATGGGAGCCTGGTCAGAGCAGATTTCATGATAATCCTAGTACCTGCTTTAAAACTGCCTCCTGTGAATTTGTCAAGTTGAGATTTAAATTTTATGCTCCACTTTGGTTGAAAAATATTTGTTGCCAAAGGATCTACAGAAAAATAACACCATGTTAGGGAGTGGGTATCCCTAATCCTGTACCTTACCCAGGTGTTTGCCATGTCTAGAATTCGTTGTCTGTATCCCAGATATCACCCACTAAGGCATTGGCAGCTCCTTTAATGGTCCAGGTCGCCAGGGCCAGCTGCTCTTTCAGCATGTTCACATCCACGCTGTCCCTGCTGGTTCTCAGCAGCTGCAGGTTCTCCAGCAGACTCTGCAGGGTGTGGAAGCCTCTGCCGAAGAAGATGTGGCGAAAGGGAGCATCTTTTGGCGAGAGGTATGGGGAGAGGAAGTCGTATTCCACCTGAAGCAGGGGTGCAAATTTAGGGTTATACCCTCACCTCCCAAGTTTTCTTTCCTGATCTGCCACAGAGCTCCTGACCTCTGATCCCCACCCAGCCCTTTCTCACTGCACCTCTGTGCTGTGTTAGACCCTTTCTCAATAGCCAGTGAAGAAGTCAGTCATGCTGAAACTAAGCAAAGAAAGAGATGCCAGTCTGCACATTGCCCATGGCACACCTGAGGAAAAGGCCCATCCCAACCTTTCTTTCCTTCATGAAAAAAGGAAAACCAGTTGTACCCACCTTCATGATCCTGTCATTCAGGGCCCTGCGGACGATCTTGTTTTCCCTGTCACTGTTCGCAATGTCTCGTCTCAGTGTATCTGTAGCTCGCTGGAAGTCACCACGGGCAAAAAACAGCCAGTTCAAGGTCAGCCCCAGAGCCTGTGAGGGAGGACCTGTTAGCAAACCTGATTTTCTTCTTTTGCTGCTTTCTTACCAAGAGAAAGTGTTGGGTTTGTTGTCATCCCGTTCCAACCCCCCCCCCCCCCCCCCCCCCTCGTTTAACTAAGTAGCAGAGCGAGTTCCTGGCAGGCTCCTCTGAGGTCACTGAGCCCAGTGACGTCTCTCCCCACCCACAGCTTCTTGTGAGCTCTCAGCAGAGGTGCAAGAGGTGCAAATGAGATGCAGAGCTCCACAGTACTGCAAATGGTAACCAGACAAGAAACCATCCGTGTCCGTTTCCTCAAGAGCTCACCACAGCCAGATTAGCTAAATCTGTCTTACACAGTGACTCTGCCTGTACTGCTCTATAAAGATCAATTCCTGTCACATCTTGGTACACTCTGGTGCCCAAAGGAGGAAGATGTCCACCCTGCTGTATCCAATGGCAGCAGAGCCTTATTAGCACATGGCCCCATAGCAGGGATTCAATGCACTCAGAGCCTTTCTTACCTTCACATCCCGATCATAAGGAAAAAACTTCTCCTGGTACGCTAGCAGTTCTTCACTGTATCGCTCAAAGTCCAGGTAAAGCTCATGATCATGGGTCAACCTGAGAGCTATTTGTCCAGCAACTTCTGCAGCAGCACGCATAAGATCATACAACTTGTCAATCATCTTCAGGTTCTCCACAGTGTCCTCAGTAGTTCCCAAAAAGGGATATTCCTCATCTTTCTGCAAGAAGGCAGGCACTGAAGTTAGGCAAGACTGCTTCTCCAGCTAGCACTTCTTACCTCCCACTGCAGCTTGCTTGCTACTTCTACCGCATCCCATCTCCTTGTGCTGCTAAGTAGCGAGACTTGGGCAAAATTTCAAAAGCACAGGGGAAGGGAATTGAGCTCCTGCATCTCATCCCTCACAGTTTCCAGCAATCAGCAGGATGCTCTACTACTCTGTTGGACACAAAGATACATAGAGCTTTTCAACTACCACAGCTGAATGCAGAAGTGCAGGCAGGCAAACCCCATCACCCAGTCTCGTATGTGCTGGCAGTACATACCTTGGCAGGATAACTCAATTTTTTTGTGGAATAAGTCTGTCACTAACAAAAGCATTCATAAGCAGAGGAAGCTGTTATCAGAAAGGTTCCCAGCTACACACCTTGCAGTAACAGAGCAGGCTGCCTGGCTGATGCCACCTTCTCCAGCCCCAAGCTGCAGCACCCCACCTGAACAGTCTGAATTAGTACTTGCTTTAGCCAACAGTACTGCTTCCCCAACACACTTCGCTTGCTGACCAGGAGGCCACAGCAGTCTTTCACTGAAGCACCAACAGCATGACATTATTTAGTACTTTTACCTTCTGAAACATCAACATCTGAGCCTTCAGAAGAGCAAGTGCGCCCTCTCCCAACAAAATATGAGTGTTCAGGACTCTGGAACAGAGACTGTAGGCCAACCATGCCCCAGATGCTGCCTTTGCAGCAAGTACTGACACAACCACAAGGCTGTGTCAGATGTAGGTCCAGAGGCTACCTATATCTCCTCCCCTAGAAAGGCTCTTGCATGGACAAGGAGCTTAGGACAGCACCTTGTGTTCTGCCACCCTGAAGAGCAGAT